AGACTTCTGATTCAACAGTCAGTGACCTCTTGACATATGCAAACACCTGACTCCTGATTCAGCAGTCAGTGACTTATCTTGACATATGGAAACACTGGACTTCTGATTCAGCAGTCAGTGACCTCTTGACATATGCAAACACCAGACTTCTGATTCAACAGTGGGTGACCTCTTGACATATCACAAACACCAGACTTCCCTGATTCAGCAGTCAGTGACCTCTTTGACATATACAAACACTGGACTTCTGATTCAGCGGTCGGTGACCTCTCGACATATGCAAACACTGGACTTCTGAGTCATCAGTCAGTGACCTCTTGACATATGCAAACACCTGACTTCTGATTCAGCAGTCAGTGACCTCTTGACATATGCAAACACCAGACTTCTGATTCAGCAGTCAGTGACCTCTTGACATATGCAAACACTGGACTCCTGATTCAGCAGTCAGTGACCTCTTGACATATGCAAACACCAGACTTCTGATTCGGCAGTCAGTGACCTCTTGACATATGCAAACACTGGACTTCTGATTCAGCGGTCGGTGACCTCTTGACATGTCAAACACTTCTGGACTGCAGTTCGGCGGTCAGTGACCTCTTGACATAATGCAAACACTGGACTTCTGATTCAGCTGGTCGGTGACCTCTCGACATATGCAAACACTGGACTTCTGGAGTCAGCAGTCAGTGACCTCTTTGACATATGCAAACACCTGACTTCTGATTCAGCAGTCAGTGACCTCTTGACATATGCAAACACTGGACTTCTGATTCAGCAGTCAGTGACCTCTTTGACATATGCAAACACTGGACTTCTGATTCAGCGGTCGGTGACCTCTCGACATAATGCAAACACTGGACTTCACCAGGTCATCAGTCAGTGACCTCTTGACATATGCAAACACCTGACTTCTGATTCAGCGGTCGGTGACCTCTTGACATATGCAAACACTGGACTTCTGATTCAGCAGTCAGTGACCTCTTGACATATGGAAACACCTTTTTGACTTCTGATTCAGCAGTCAGTGACCTCTTGACATATGCAAACAGCGGACTTGTGATTCAGCAGTCCAGTGACCTTCTTGACATATGCAAACACCAGACTTCTGATTCAGCAGTCAGTGACCTCTTGACATATGCAAACACCAGACTTCTGATTCAACAGTCAGTGACCTCTCTTGACATATGCAAACACCAGACTTCTGATTCATCAGTCAGTGACCTCTTGACATAATGCAAACACCTGACTTCTGATTCAGCGGTCGGTGACCTCTTGACATATGCAAACACTGGACTTTTGATTCGGCAGTCAGTGACCTCTTGACATAATGCAAACACCAGACTTCTGATTCAGCAGTCAGTGACCTCTTCCGACATATGCACCAACACCAGACTTCTGATTCAGCAGTCCAATGACCTCTGATTATATGCAAACACCTGACTTCTGATTCAGCAGTCAGTGACCTCTTGACATATGCAAAACACCAGACTTCTGATTCAGCGGTCAGTGACCTCTTGACATATGCAAACACCGGACTTCTGATTCAGCAGTCAATGACCTCTTGACATATGCAAACACTCGACTTCTTGATCTATCAGTCGGTGACCTCTTGACATATGCAAACTTACCGGACTTCTGATTCAGCAGTCAATGACCTCTTGACATATGCAAACACTGGACTTCTGATCTAGCAGTCAGTGACCTCTCGACATATGCAAACACTGGACTTCTGATTCAGCAGTCAGTGACCTCTTGACATATGCAAACACCAGACTTCTGATTCAACAGTCAGTGACCTCTTGACATATGCAAACACCAGACTTCTGATTCAGCAGTCAGTGACCTCTTGACATATGCAAACACTGGACTTCTGATTCAGCAGTCGGTGACCTCTTGACATATGCAAACACCAGACTTCTGATTCAGCAGTCGGTGACCTCTTGACATATGCAAACACCTGACTCCTGATTCAGCAGTCAGTGACCTCTTGACATATGCAAACACTGGACTTCTGATTCAGCAGTCAGTGACCTCTTGACATATGCAAACACCAGACTTCTGATTCATCAGTCAGTGACCTCTTGACATATGCAAACACCTGACTTCTGATTCAGCAGTCAGTGACCTCTTGACATATGCAAACACCTGACTTCTGATTCAGCAGTCAGTGACCTCTTGACATATGCAAACACCAGACTTCTGATTCAGCAGTCAATGACCTCTTGACATATGCAAACACTGGACTTCTGATCTATCAGTCGGTGACCTCTTGACATATGCAAACACCGGACTTCTGATTCAACAGTCGGTGACCTCTTGACATATGCAAACACCAGACTTCTGATTCAGCAGTCAGTGACCTCTTGACATATGCAAACACTGGACTTCTGATTCAGCAGTCGGTGACCTCTCGACATATGCAAACACTGGACTTCTGAGTCATCAGTCAGTGACCTCTTGACATATGCAAACACCTGACTTCTGATTCAGCAGTCAGTGACCTCTTGACATATGCAAACACCAGACTTCTGATTCAGCAGTCAGTGACCTCTTGACATATGCAAACACTGGACTTCTGATTCAGCAGTCGGTGACCTCTCGACATATGCAAACACTGGACTTCTGAGTCATCAGTCAGTGACCTCTTGACATATGCAAACACCTGACTTCTGATTCAGCAGTCAGTGACCTCTTGACATATGCAAACACTGGACTTCTGATTCAGCAGTCAGTGACCTCTTGACATATGCAAACACTGGACTTCTGATTCAGCAGTCAGTGACCTCTTGACATATGCAAACACTGGACTTCTGATTCATCAGTCAGTGACCTCTCGACATATGCAAACACTGGACTTCTGATTCATCAGTCAGTGACCTCTTGACATATGCAAACACTGGAATTCTGATTCAGCAGTCAGTGACCTCTCGACATATGCAAACACCGGACTTCTGATCTAGCAGTCAGTGACCTCTTGACATATGCAAACACCGGACTTCTGATCTAGCAGTCAGTGACCTCTTGACATATGCAAACACTGGACTTCTGATTCAGCAGTCAGTGACCTCTTGACATATGGAAACACCTGACTTCTGATTCAGCAGTCAGTGACCTCTTGACATATGCAAACAGCGGACTTGTGATTCAGCAGTCAGTGACCTCTTGACATATGCAAACACCGGACTTCTGATTCAGCAGTCAGTGACCTCTTGACATATGCAAACACCAGACTTCTGATTCAACAGTCAGTGACCTCTTGACATATGCAAACACCAGACTTCTGATTCATCAGTCAGTGACCTCTTGACATATGCAAACACCAGACTTCTGATTCAGCAGTCAGTGACCTCTTGACATATGCAAACACTGGACTTTTGATTCAGCAGTCAGTGACCTCTTGACATATGCAAACACCAGACTTCTGATTCAGCAGTCAGTGACCTCTTGACATATGCAAACACCAGACTTCTGATTCAGCAGTCAGTGACCTCTTGACATATGCAAACACCAGACTTCTGATTCAGCAGTCAGTGACCTCTTGACATATGCAAACACCGGACTTCTGATTCAGCAGTCAATGACCTCTTGACATATGCAAACACTCGACTTCTGATCTATCAGTCGGTGACCTCTTGACATATGCAAACACCGGACTTCTGATTCAGCAGTCAATGACCTCTTGACATATGCAAACACTGGACTTCTGATCTAGCAGTCAGTGACCTCTCGACATATGCAAACACTGGACTTCTGATTCAGCAGTCAGTGACCTCTTGACATATGCAAACACCAGACTTCTGATTCAACAGTCAGTGACCTCTTGACATATGCAAACACCAGACTTCTGATTCAGCAGTCAGTGACCTCTTGACATATGCAAACACTGGACTTCTGATTCAGCAGTCGGTGACCTCTTGACATATGCAAACACCAGACTTCTGATTCAGCAGTCGGTGACCTCTTGACATATGCAAACACCTGACTCCTGATTCAGCAGTCAGTGACCTCTTGACATATGCAAACACTGGACTTCTGATTCAGCAGTCAGTGACCTCTTGACATATGCAAACACCAGACTTCTGATTCATCAGTCAGTGACCTCTTGACATATGCAAACACCTGACTTCTGATTCAGCAGTCAGTGACCTCTTGACATATGCAAACACCTGACTTCTGATTCAGCAGTCAGTGACCTCTTGACATATGCAAACACCAGACTTCTGATTCAGCAGTCAATGACCTCTTGACATATGCAAACACTGGACTTCTGATCTAGCAGTCAGTGACCTCTTGACATATGCAAACACCGGACTTCTGATCTAGCAGTCAGTGACCTCTTGACATATGCAAACACTGGACTTCTGATTCAGCAGTCAGTGACCTCTTGTCATATGACTTCTGATTCAGCAGTCGGATACATAAAGTGGATACATAATTCAACCACAAACCCGATTTTAACATACTAGGTTACTGAAGTGCATAATCCTTTGTACTGATGTCATGATCTGCATTCCTTTATGGATTCCCAAATAGAATCACAATGTACACAACTATTTGTCTCTTTTACATAAAATGTTTCAAAACTGTTCTGAAATGCTCTAATTGAATTCCGCAACTAAGTTGACCCCTTGAAAAATTACACACACAAGGTCACCTTGACCACTGATCAGTCAGTCAGTCAGTCAGTCAAAATTGTCAGATTAAATTGAAGTTTACATTATGAGGAACTAAAGTAGGGGGCCACAAGGCTGTTGCGCAAGAAATATCACTGTTAGATGTAATCTGAGAGCTCATTGGTTGAAGCATTCACTCTCAATCGTAGAGATCAAAATGGTGACTTTGCTGAACAAATTATGAAGGTCATGATCTTCAGAATATCACATGGACCCAATCAACAAAACACCATTGGTTCTCCTTACACTATACAATAGCTGGAATGCAGTGAAGTACCGACGACCAAGCTCTCTTTGGTGCATTTGTTTTGTTTATCACATTATATTATCAATGTGAAGGTCACGACCTTCAGAGGTTCACAAGGTTGATGGTCCCAATCAACATAACCTTTGTTCTCCATACAATACACAATATTTGGAGAGATAACATCTTCTTGTGTGACAAGCTGTAGTCATGGTGTTTGAGCAGGGTTCATTCATCTGCATCATCATACTGTCCTGGTTCTTCTGGGAAGGTAAGAGCTGCCATGTTGCGAGGGATCGATGGTACGTGGAGATCGAACGCAAACAAGAGCGTTTGAAGGTCCTTGGTGGGCTGATGAGCTTCTGCCCACGTCGGATGTTGATACACAGGTGCAGCATCTGAAAACAAGACAGTCCTCTCAGTAACTATGGTAACAAGTACATTACATTCAAGCAGTCCACAACTACATAAATCTGACAAAAGTTCTGTCTTTACTTTGTTGTTAATATTGTACTCAAGGCAGCATAGCAATATTCCAGTCTGGACCAGACAAACCAGTGATGGATATTGTGATTAATGATTCACACCATCAGGGTACAATGTCATACAATTAGCCAAGTCATTGATCCATTAAGTCACCTGTTATGACCAGTATATGTTGCAAGGTACCAATTCTAATCTGGAGTACCCAAGGGGCAACACACACCTCTCACATCCCTACTGACCTGTGTTGCTGGAGAACTGATCCTCTATTTCTTCATCCCAGTTCTCACTTTCTCCACTTGTCTCATCCTCCGTAACTGGTACTGTCTGAGTATCGGAGGCTGGTTGTGAGGGGAGATCCCAGTCGTTTTCCTCGCTCCCATTGGCCGACCCCCAGTCTGTGCAGAATTAATGAGGACATCAATAACAGATTATAAATCATACTAATCTGAATGTTTGATGTCCATTAACTCCATTCATACCACATAAAACTGATATCCCATGCAAACACTTTACTGGGACACTATAGTTTTCTGTCATAGTCTGGAGTCAGAGGACAGACAAAAACTAAAAATGGCTGAAAGCAGCTTCTTTCTTTAAAGTGGATCATGGAATATTTTTAGAAATATAACCAGGAGAAAGAAAAAGCTGAAACACGATTCTTGATCCCACAAATAGAACAAAAATAAGGCAAGGGTTTACCTTGTTTGAAGTAGACATGTAAATAGTCATCGTCATCATATTCCTCCTCCTCCTCCTCCTCCTCCTCATCATCATCATCATCATCCCTCTTGCTGCTCCCAGCACCTTCACTCTCAGCTGCATCACTTGGTTCATTTGAAAATGTCTTATTCCGTGCAAGCCAATTCTGGAAAGATCTCTCTCCCCTGACAAACTTTTCCCTCTGCGTGGGCCCATTATGAGATCTCCAGATGGACATGTTTCTCCGTGCAGCTAGTTCCAGTTGCTGTTCACTGTACTTCTCCGAATCCTCATCATGATGTTCTTCCTCCCCAGTAGGAGGACCGGCATCAGGCACCTGAAACACCACCATCATTCCAATACATCTACGCTACATCGCGCCGAAGGCACGGGTTCTATTCCCCACATGGGAGAAAATGTGTGAAGACCATTTCTGGTGTCCTCCACCGTGATATTGCTGGAATATTGCTAAAAGCGGCAAGAAAACAGACTCACTCATTCATTACTTGACCAGCTGAGCATTATGTTTGTCTGTGCTGAAAATGGCAGCAAACTTGCAAGCCCACTATAAATACAACAACCAGGTCCTGTAAATCTAAGGGAGGGAACTCATGAAATGCTGAATACTGGGCACTGGGCACTTACGACAATCACAATCTTAGTTATAACTTTCCAGTACACTATCACCAATGTTCACACTGATACGTGATTGTGCATCATGGAGTCCCCAAAATTGATAAATTACTGGAATTTCATCTGACTACAAACAACAATTACTCTATAATGTGCTTTTAAATCTAAAATTGTGGCCACCACAATAAAAGTGAAATATCTGAGATGTTTATGAATTCCACGAAAACATGTCTGATCATGATAACAGATATGAATTTCTGCTGGACAACCAAATTTGAAGGATACTTGAAGGACTGTAGGCATGTAAGGATTACTCTACCATTAATCAACAATGCTATTTAGTTGCTTTTTGATTCTATGATTGCATACATTGTGTCACATACCCAAATACATGTGTGGGAATTGATCCTGTAGTGATAAGATTCTACAAATTTTTATTTTTTTTAGTTTCAAGATAGATCAAATTATTAAATTTACAATCCACAATGAGTATTGTTAAAGTGAATATATTGACACATCTGGTAAGTTTTAACCAAGCATATGGATCAAATACAGCTACCAAAATCTCAACCTCCTACAACAGTCCTTATCGCCATAGATGGTCAATGGGAGATAACTCTGTATCACAAGCCAGATTACATCCCATATGGTTGAAGCAATGACAGTAAGTTTTCACAAATAACCTCACAACTCTGAATGTGATGTCAGTCCATTATCTTAACAATCAGCTCACCGGATAATGAAAGGTTTCAAGGCCAGTTAAGTCCTGGCGAGGCCTGCCCCTCCAGTTGTCTTTCAGCGAGGGATCCCTCAGAGGGTACTTGGACTGTCGCACCAAAATCGGAACCTCATGACGGGGCACACCAAGCTTGTTCTGTAGCCATGGACAACAGACAAACATCTTTACCACTAAGCCATGAGGACCAATTTCTACATGCAGCAATAAGACAACTGATACATGTTTTAACAATGACGATACACCAGCAATTTCCCGATTAATTGGGGCATGTTGGGCGAGCTGTCTAAGGGGCCGCACTAGTAAGCTAAAGGTGCCTGGATCGATCCCCACTTGTGACCGGGTATACAAAAACCTTTGAGCTAACATTACTTGCAGGCTCTTTCAGTGTTTTCACAACCCCTAGTGTGCAGTACACAACCCTGTGCGCTTAAAAGAACCCAGTCATCCGACGGTAGGTGACCAGATAGTGGACACACGAACACATGCAGACACCAAGTTGCGGGTATAGCAACGTGCAGTATCATTGGACAAAGTACTGTGACTATGTGTCCCAGTCCACCCAGCTGCAAATGGGTACCTTGTGAGGATGAGGCTGTGAGTTGAATACTCCCCAGGGAGTTGAGTTGGTTAAAAGAATGCCAGACAAAAAAGACATCCGTTGATCAAGAGAACACCCACGCGCCAGTCTGACAAGCTGGTGGAAGTGTTGGAGACAGGAGGACACCTACCTCATCAATGTCCAATCTGACAAGCTGGTGGAAGTGTTGGAGACAGGACACCTACCTCATCAATGTCCAGTCAGACAAGGTGGTGGAAGTGTTGGAGACAGGAGGACACCTACCTCATCAATGTCCAGTCTGACAAGCAGGTGGAAGTGTTTGAGACAGGAGGACACCTACCTCATCAATGTCCAGTCTGACAAGGTGGTGGAAGTGTTGGAGACAGGAGGACACCTACCTCATCAATGTCCAGTCTGACAAGCAGGTGGAAGTGTTTGAGAGAGGAGGACACCTACCTCATCAATGTCCAGTCTGACAAGCAGGTGGAAGTGTTTGAGAGAGGAGGACACCTACCTCATCAATGTCCAGTCTGACAAGCTGGTGGAAGTGTTGGAGACAGGAGGACACCTACCTCATCAATGTCCAGTCTTACAAGCAGGTGGAAGTGTTTGAGAGAGGAGGACACCTACCTCATCAATGTCCAGTCTGACAAGCTGGTGGAAGTGTTGGAGACAGGAGGACACCTACCTCATCAATGTCCAATCTGACAAGCTGGTGGAAGTGTTGGAGACAGGAGGACACCTACCTCATCAATGTCCAGTCTGACAAGCTGGTGGAAGTGTTGGAGACAGGAGGACACCTACCTCATCAATGTCCAGTCTGACAGGCTGGTGGAAGTGTTGGAGACAGGACACCTACCTCATCAATGTCCAGTCTGACAAGGTGGTGGAAGTGTTGGAGACAGGAGGACACCTACCTCATCAATGTCCAGTCTGACAGGCTGGTGGAAGTGTTGGAGACAGGAGGACACCTACCTCATCAATGTCCAGTCTGACAGGCTGGTGGAAGTGTTTGAGACAGGAGGACACCTACCTCATCAATGTCCAGTCTGACAAGCTGGTGGAAGTGTTGGAGACAGGAGGACACCTACCTCATCAATGTCCAGTCAGACAAGGTGGTGGAAGTGTTTGAGAGAGGGGGACACCTACCTCATCAATGTCCAGTCTGACAAGGTGGTGGAAGTGTTGGAGACAGGAGGACACCTACTCATCAATGTCCAGTCTGACAGGCTGGTGGAAGTGTTGGAGACAGGAGGACACCTACCTCATCAATGTCCAGTCTGACAAGCTGGTGGAAGTGTTGGAGACAGGAGGACACCTACCTCATCAATGTCCAGTCTGACAGGCTGGTGGAAGTGTTTGAGACAGGAGGACACCTACCTCATCAATGTCCAGTCTGACAAGCTGGTGGAAGTGTTGGAGACAGGAGGACACCTACCTCATCAATGTCCAGTCAGACAAGGTGGTGGAAGTGTTTGAGAGAGGGGGACACCTACCTCATCAATGTCCAGTCTGACAAGGTGGTGGAAGTGTTGGAGACAGGAGGACACCTACCTCATCAATGTCCAGTCTGACAGGCTGGTGGAAGTGTTGGAGACAGGAGGACACCTACCTCATCAATGTCCAGTCTGACAAGCTGGTGGAAGTGTTGGAGACAGGAGGACACCTACCTCATCAATGTCCAGTCTGACAAGGTGGTGGAAGTGTTTGAGAGAGGGGGACACCTACCTCATCAATGTCCAGTCTGACAAGCTGGTGGAAGTGTTTGAGAGAGGGGGACACCTACCTCATCAATGTCCAGTCTGACAAGCTGGTGGAAGTGTTTGAGAGCGGAGGACACCTACCTCATCAATGTCCAGTCTGACAAGCTGGTGGAAGTGTTTGAGACAGGAGGACACCTACCTCATCAATGTCCAGTCTGAACAAGCTGGTGGAAGTGTTTGAGAGAGGGGGACACCTATCTCATCAATGTCCAGTCTGACAAGCTGGTGGAAGTGTTTGAGAGCGGAGGACACCTACCTCATCAATGTCCAGTCTGACAAGCTGGTGGAAGTGTTTGAGAGAGGAGGACACCTACCTCATCAATGTCCAGTCTGAACAAGCTGGTGGAAGTGTTTGAGACAGGAGGACAACTACCTCATCAATGTCCAGTCTGACAAGCTGGTGGAAGTGTTTGAGAGAGGGGGACACCTACCTCATCAATGTCCAATCTTACAAGCTGGTGGAAGTGTTTGAGAGAGGAGGACACCTACCTCATCAATGTCCAGTCTGACAAGCTGGTGGAAGTGTTTGAGAGAGGAGGACACCTACCTCATCAATGTCCAGTCTGACAAGCAGGTGGAAGTGTTGGAGACAGGAGGACACCTACCTCATCAATGTCCAGTCTGACAAGCTGGTGGAAGTGTTGGAGACAGGAGGACACCTACCTCATCAATGTCCAGTCTGACAAGGTGGTGGAGGTATTTGAGAGAGGGGGACACCTACCTCATCAATGTCCAGTCTGACAAGGTGGTGGAAGTGTTTGAGAGAGGAGGTCACCTACCTCATCAATGTCCAGTCTGACAAGGTGGTGGAAGTGTTTGGGAGAGGAGGACACCTACCTCATCAATGTCCAGTCTGACAAGCTGGTGGAAGTGTTTGAGAGAGGGGGACACCTACCTCATCAATGTCCAATCTGACAAGCTGGTGAAGGTATTTGAGACAGGAGGACACCTACCTCATCAATGTCCAGTCTGACAAGCTGGTGGAACTGTTTGAGACAGGACACCTACCTCATCAATGTCCAGTCTGACAAGGTGGTGGAAGTGTTGGAGACAGGAGGACACTTACCTCATCAATCTCCAGTCTGACAAGGTGGTGGAAGTGTTTGAGACAGGAGGACACCTACCTCATCAATGTCCAGTCTGACAAGGTGGTGGAAGTGTTGGAGACAGGAGGACACCTACCTCATCAATGTCCAGTCTGACAAGGTGGTGGAAGTGTTGGAGACAGGAGGACACCTACCTCATCAATGTCCAGTCTGACAAGGTGGTGGAAGTGTTGGAGACAGGAGGACACCTACCTCATCAATGTCCAGTCTGACAAGGTGGTGGAAGTGTTGGAGACAGGAGGACACCTACCTCATCAATGTCCAGTCTGACAAGCAGGTGGAAGTGTTTGAGACAGGAGGACACCTACCTCATCAATGTCCAGTCTGACAAGGTGGTGGAAGTGTTGGAGACAGGAGGACACCCTACCTCATCAATGTCCAGTCTGACAAGCAGGTGGAAGTGTTTGAGAGAGGAGGACACCTACCTCATCAATGTCCAGTCTGACAAGCAGGTGGAAGTGTTTGAGAGAGGAGGACACCTACCTCATCAATGTCCAGTCTGACAAGCTGGTGGAAGTGTTGGAGACAGGAGGACACCTACCTCATCAATGTCCAGTCTTACAAGCAGGTGGAAGTGTTTGAGAGAGGAGGACACCTACCTCATCAATGTCCAGTCTGACAAGCTAGTGAAAGTGTTTGAGACAGGGGGACACCTACCTCATCAATGTCCAGTCTGACAAGTTGGTGGAAGTGTTGGAGACAGGACGGTACTTGAGTTAACAAGTTGTTGAAGAGATCAAGTGTCTTCAGCTGCACAAGTTTCTCAAATGATTCTGGCAACTCAGCGATCTAAAACATGAATATGATAAACATACATCTTCAAATAAAAGTATCTGCATGATATCCAAATATCCTGATGTTACCATCTTATATTATATATCATGCTTTTCAATTCCAAATTCTAAAAATGTGACATGACATCCCAGCATCAGTACAAGTTCCCTGAGTTGTCATGGAAACATATAACATCCCAGTATCAGTGCATGGTTGATGTGTTGTCATGGAAACATATAACATCCCAGCATCAGTACAAGGTCCATGAGTTGTCATGGAAACATATAACATCCCAGCATCAGTACATGGTTGATGTGTTGTCATGGAAACATATAACATCCCAGCATCAGTACATGGTCCATGAGTTGTCATGGAAACATATAACATCCCAGTATCAGTACATGGTTGATGTGTTGTCATGGAAACATATAACATCCCAGCATCGGTACATGGTTGATGTGTTGTCATGGAAACATATAACATCCCAGCATCAGTACATGGTCCATGAGTTGTCATGGAAACATATAACATCCCAGTATCAGTACAAGGTCCATGAGTTGTCATGGAAACATATAACATCCCAGTATCAGTACATGGTCCATGAGTTGTCATGAAACATATAACATCCCATGTGTTGTCATGGAAGCATACGATGTCAAGGCATCAGTACAACTTGAAGTTGAAGGTCCATTATACATACCAGGTTGTTGTCCATCCTGAGATCCATCAGTGACGTGAGCTGTCCGAAGTTGGGAGGAAGTAGCTGAAGGTGGTTCTTGGACAGGAGGCAGATCTTCAGGGAATGCAGGTTACAAAATGAGTGGGGCAACTCATGGAGCATGTTCTGACCTTGAAGAGAGAAAGAAACAGACAAATACAGACAGAAAGACATTGCGCCACACAGAATCACTATTAACATGATTCAAGTAATGAGCTTTTTATATGCCTTGCTAAATTCCACTCAACTTCAAGATTTTTTCCACGTACAACTTAGCGAATTATGAAACTCTCAACTCCCTCATCATTTTCCTTGTTATGTCACTTATGGGTGATAGTACAACTGTAATTGTCTCTGATTGGTAGTGCTATGATTACTTACTATCAATTACCATAATCACTATGACTATGATGACTATTAATGTTATTATGCATGTTGATTACCATGATTACTGACTCAGTGACTGGTTGTTGTCAACATTACTGAAAGTGTAAATTGCTATTATTATTGTTGTTTTTAATAGTAATCAATATACAAAAGGTACAAAAGTTTTGCCTTCCTTGAATGCAGGGATTCAGAGTGGTTCCTTTTCTACAACACTGTGTACAGGATTATCAAATTGAATCCAAAGATATAATCCAATAATATGGTAACCACTGTCTTCACAATAAACAGGATATACCAAATCATAGTAGTTTACTCTTTCAATTATATTAATAACAACATACTACAGTGGAATCTGTCTATTATGGACTGGCCTTGGACAGACTCATTTGTCCAGATTATAAAGCAGTCCGGATTGGTCAACTTTTGTCCGTTACTGTAGACACTGCCATGATGAGTTACCTCCCTTAGTTAAGGACACCGGTAATTTTACTCAATATGTTAAAAAAGAATGTTTATAGAGCAAAACCTGCAATTAAAAACACACAAAAGAATATATTTCTCTTTATAAACTAATAGTTTCAGATACTATATTTTATAATGTTTTATTAAATCACTGGTAGGCGAACGTGTGCACAGCATGGAACACTGGGTAGGAGATTGTGTGCACAGCTGATTGCTATTTCTGGCTCAGTATACGCGACAATTAAACAGGGTAATTTTAATCCCTACATACATGACAATGCCTAGCAAAAAAAAATAAGAACTGAATAAGTTGTCTAGTGACGTTTAATTGCAAATTTGACGTCTTTAGTGACAAAGTCATCTTCTCTTGTTTGTTCACACAAAGCGATATGCTGTTGTTTTCTACCTCTTGATGAAAGTGTAACCCATAGGTAAGCCAACCTCCCTTCTACAGACTCTTTTTGGGGGGTCCTCAAAATGCGTCCTACAGTAATATACGGTTCGTTTTTTTCAAAAAGCTGACAGTAATGTTCACTTCACTTCAAAATATCTGAAAATACTCTGTCTAAGAACAGAAGAAACAGAGATATCTAATCAACGGATTGTTATTGAAGTCAGCTACGTCTGGATTACAAAGCATTGTTCTCATAGCAAGTTGATTGTTGGGACTGTTATTTTAGTCCATAATCCGTAATTAAGAGAGTCCGGATTATAAAGCAAGCTTTAATGATAAATTAACAACAATTTTGCCTGGACTCAAAGTTGTCCGGATAATGGAAAAAACAGGTTTACAGAGAGTCCGGATTTGACAGATTCCACTGTACTTCTAAATCAAGTTAATGACAAATAAATGATAACATCATTAAATCAATGCATAAATTTTATCAGCAAAACCAAGTTAAAACATACCAAGATCAAGGAACTCCAAATTAACCAAGTTTCCAAAGTCTTCAGGTAGTTCTTGTATTTGATTCTCATCAAGATGTAGATCCTTGAGATTCACCATCTGACAAAAAGCGTTTGGCAGTTGTGCTATCCAGTTACCATTCTGAAAGTTCCGACATTCCAGTTCATCAATAACACTGCCAAGATGCAAAGTCTCTAACTCAGTCAACTCTCCTATCGAGTGGGGTAAAGATGTCATGAAATTACCACTCATGTCTAACACCTTCAATCGATGGTTTGTTTGTCCAAATCTTTCACTGACAGCCTGGTGAGCGAGCTTATTGTCTTTCATTGACACTTCTACAGCCTGTGGTAGCTGGGATATCCACTCAGGTAACTCTCCAATCAGGTTGCTGTCGGCATAAAACTTCTTCAGGGTTTGACTGGAGTTAAAGTGTTTTGGCAAGTGGTCAATTTGGTTTGCTGATAAATCTAGAAATTCAACACTTTTCAGATCACCAAAACTGTCTGGCAGTTTTTCAATGCTATTGTTGCTGAGGTTAAGAACTTTCAAGTTTTTCAACTTTCCAAATCCTGATGGTAAGGATATCAACTTGTTTGTATTACATTCAAACATTTGCAAGTTTTCGAGGAGTCCAAATGTCTTAGGAAGTTGTGACAAACCGTTCTCGTCAATGATGAGTGATTGTAAAGCATTAATTTCACCGAAGTCATCAGGTAGTTTTTCAACACTGTTTCCAGTCAGTCTTAATATCCTCAACTTAATCAAACCACACACAGACTCTGGGATATACTCAAGACAATTTTCATTAAGATGAATCTCCTCTAGATGTGAGAGAGATCCAATACTATGTGGCAGTGTCTTTAACTGATTACCATTCACAGACAGGATTCTCAAGTTTGGAGCACCAAGCCCAAAACACTCAGGAAGGGATGTGAGTTCATTAAAATCAAGAATAAGTACAGCAAGTCTATCAGTGAGGTGTGTGTCAGACAGGAGATCAAGGCTTGTAGAAGATAGATCAACCTCATCGTCAGCCTCAGATTCACAGACACCATTGGTAAGGATGGCTTGGTTAGGTGTCTCCTTGCTTGGATTTACAAACTGTTTCTTACATTCTTTATGCTCAATGTACACTGGTTCCCAGTCTTCAAACCTCTCTGAATCTGATGTCAGACTTTGTGAAGATATATCACTAGATAGATCCATGATCGTGGAATGTTCAGAGCGATCTCTTACTTTGACTCACATGTAACCATTCAAAAACGGTCTTTCATCTTGACAAATTCTTCTTTCATTCCTCAAAAAGATTCTATCCCAATTCTGAAAATCAAGTACAAAATGATTTAAGACATTCACACTTCAGTTTTCCAAACAAACAATAGCACACTCAAGCATCCTTGGGGGGTCCATCATCATTATTTCACCACTCTATACACTGGACACCCCTCAATGTCCCATGTATACATACAGTCGATGTATTAGGCAGCTGTTATTTGTAACTGAGGAGACACAACCTGGTTCAAATGAGATGGGAATCAGCCAGTGGTTAGACCAAAATATTACATGAGCTATATTGCCGCAGATACTGTTACATTTCCTTTTTACAAAAAGGGAGAACACAAAAATGTATATTGTTTGAATTCCTTTCAGTACTTAATGCTAATTTGCATACTTTTTTATGCTATTGCGATTTTGGGTAAATAGATTTCAGGATTCTGGGCTGAACAGTGTTACTCAGAGTGAAAACAATATTATCCTGGTGATCAGGTGACTGGGGTGTTGACATGCTCATTTCAGGCAATAAAGGCAGGGGACAAAGTTCATGCACAGAGTCAGGTTGTTTTGACACCCGTGTCATGAATCTCTACAATGCATTTGAAAATTAAAATAACACACATCACAACTAAAAGCAAAGTATGTAGGGAGACAAGAGAACACAGTACAGGTACACACAATTGTGATCGAAAGCCTTCATAAAGTCAGAGTGCAGAGTTTAGGGTTAGGCACCCTTTACTATCCTTGGGGTTAGGCCCCCTTTACGATCCTTAGTGTTAGGCACCCTTTACGATCTTTAGGGTTAGGGTTAGGGTAGCCGAGGACCGCATCTCGGCTCTCGGCTAGGGTTAGGGAACCCCAGCAGCGCTAATTAATCTGAAAAAGTGCGCCCGGTAAAGTGCAGTACTCCCGATATTCCTAAGATAAGGTGTAATTGGCAATCTGTGAATGTGGTGATGTTTGGTGCTAAATCAATTATCGGACGTGGACAGGCATGAATCGTACGTGTATACAATATTATCGGGATAAAACCTTTCACTAGTTTCAGCGGAACGCAGCTTTGCTACGATTTTCAGAGCTAGTGTCTTACAAATAACTTCTACCCCTGACACTGTGCATTTGGAAAAAAGGAAGTGCAGAAGTTGTACTTTCGAAATATACCACTGTAAACTGTTTTGTTGACAGTTTTCGCACATGCTGACCTGTTTGCCGCAAACCATATGTGCGACATATACAAATCATTTCCCGGATATTTCTATCTCTTTCTGACATAATATTTTCTCTTAAACTGCTACCCTAGGTAATAAAAGACAAAACGCTCTGACACTTTTTAGTTCCGAGATTATATTAAATTTCTACCTTTCTGTAACAGAGGATGTCAAAGCAAAACTGGGAATGGTCTCAAAAGAACTACAATAGACAGCGCGCAAATGCGGACCGGATGAAACTTCGTGGATACAGTCAAACGTTTACTGTATGCCGCAAACCATTCGTCCCGTAAATGAAAACGAGGCAGGCGGTGAATTTGTTTATATGGTACCTGTCAATATCTGTTTCACTGAGCAGATGATGAGATATCCGTAGATACTGATACAGATGTGCGTAACAATATTCACTGGCACTGGAAAAATATGATTTAACATCTGCGAACGTAACTCTGTCGTAAGTGAGTAATGTCACCACAAGCAAAATGATTTTAAGGAATGAAATCCAGTAAACATGCAGTGACATGTTAAAATGCTGTCAGTTTCGAGAGGACAGTTGGAATGACAAGCTTGCAAGTAAACAATGAGATCAAGCTGATGCAATATTATTTTAGCTGATATAACTTAAAATATTTTCGAAGAAGCTTTAAACCACTCTGTGACACCACAAGTAATTGGATATGTTAAATTATTTGAAGCACAGTCTGTCAGTGTCATGAGATGGGTGATGGTTGTTCACAACAGTGTAAAGTATCATTCTCTCACATTTGTCATATGATCTGCAAACACATATAATGTCCTATGGGAAAGACTTCCGTCCGTATCCCCCTTAAATTTCATTCTAGTCAAATAATATCCCCTGAGTATATATTCCTCATCTGATGAGGGTGAGTTCTAACATGTTTCTTTAATTATATCTGAATATACTGAAAGACATATCCAACTTCTAAAAATGCCACTCAAAGAATTTTTTTCCGTATCATGACAGGATTCCCCTGCCATGAGGCTGACATGCTGCAATGTAAGTGAAATACTGAGCAAGGCTTACATGGTGCTACACATGTGAAGAATACAAGATGGCTGACCAGGACCCAGCATCATGGAGAGAGTTGGCAGAGCAGAAAGAGAGGGAATGGAAGGAAGCATCTCAGAAGAGGTTTGTCTTTGTTATCTGTATTGCTTGACCCTTTGGAAACCCTTTGTCTACTCCTCACATTACCTGTGGGACAGTATGATGTACCTCACTTCCTTCCTTGTGTCTTGATACCTGTGAAAATCTGGGTTAGAATTGATCTCCAGTAACCCATGCTTGACGACTATCGGGACTGGGTGGTCAGACTTGGTTGATATATGTCATCGTACCCCAATTACGTAGATTGATGCTCATGCTGTTGATCACTGGATTGTCTGGTCCAGATTGATTATTTACAATGCCGTCCGTTAATTCCGAGCACATAAGCACATCGTTTGCACCACGGCAACTAACGTCTCTTATTTTTTGTGGTTTACGTGACTAAACATGCTGGTATGCATCATATTTATCTAGAAATATAAGTTTTATTGACGACTATAAGATTCTAACTTGGCATTATGCCATACGGTTGACCTTACCAGTGTTCTGACGACATGGCTTGCTGTCAGGTAATTCTGCGCAGCAACTGATGCGCATAACATCCAGCTGGAAATCCGAAGTATGGAAGCGTATTAGGGCCAGATTATTTTCAAAAATCACTTCATCAATGTAAGGAAGAGTATTTCATATTAAATCCAATTATGTATAATGAAGAAAAAGGTTTAAATGTCTGAAAAAAACAAATTTTCATAAAACTGTCAATTTATCTGTCAATTACTGTTATTTACTTTCCTTTAGTGATTAAAACCAGTCGCTTGTAGAAATGTCCCGATTTCAAGCGTAAATGTGGTAGCAGACGATGGTTACCTTCGATACGGAAGTACGCTATTGCAGCTGCGCAGAATTACTCGGACGCGCGTAATTACCGGACTCACTTGTACAGATTGACACCGTATGGATGGAATTTTGCTGAGTGCAATGTAAAACTAAACTCACTCACCAACCCTCTTGTCTTGAGACAGCATTACCAGTGTCTGTGTGCTGACACACCTAGCACTTACATCAGTTTCTATGTGTAGAGATCAAGATCAAGGTTGTATACACTTTCTTTCAACAAGAAGGGTCCGTTTGCCAGGTGTGATGATTTTGAACTGCATCCTTAAGCTGATTATGGTATTTACACTTGCATGTGTTTGTAGGGTGGAGTCACTTGAGAAGGCTTGTAGAGAGAAGGAGCAGTCTCTGGCTGCCGAGAGGACAAAACTAACAAAGCTGAAGGAGGACTTCAAGTACAACCTGAAGCTGCTGGAGGAGAGGGACCAGGAGCTGCAGGCCTATGATGCCAACTTCACAGGTGAGTCCCATATCATACATTTATGTCCTATGTGGAACAGGTGAGTCTCATGTCATACCGGTGTGCCCTGTGTCAAACATTTGAGTCCATGTCATACAAGTGTGACCTGTGTCAAATAGGTGAGTCCCATGTCATACAGATGTGCCCTATGTCATACAAGTGAATTGCATGTCATACAGGTGTGCCCCATGTCAAACAGGTGAGTCCCATGTCATACAGATGTGCCCTGTCATACAGGTGTGCCCCATATCAAACAGGTGAGTCGCATGTCAAAACAGGTGAGTCCCATGTCATACAGATGTGCCCTGTCATACAGGTGTGCCCCATATCAAACAGGTGAGTTGCATGTCATACAAGTGTGCCCCATGTCAAACAGGTGTGACTCACATCATACAGGTGTGTTGTATGTTGTACAGGTTCATGTGTCATACAGGTGTGTGATACATCATACAGGTTTCACATGTCATACAGGTGTGTGTTGCATCATACAAGTTTCACATGTCATACAGGTGTGTGTTGCATCATACAGGTTTCACATGTCATACAGGTGTGTGTTGCATCATACAGGTTTCACGTGTCATACAGGTGTGTGTTGCATCATACAGGTTTCATGTGGCATACAGGTGTGTTACATCATCCAGGTTTCATGTGTCATACAGGTTTATGTTACATCATACAGATATCATGTGTCATACAGGTGTGACTCACATCATACAGGTGTGTTGTATGTTTTACAGGCTCATATGTCATACTGGGGTGTTACATCATATAGGTTTCAAGTGTCACACAGGTTCTGGCTAATATTTTAACAAGCCAATATTGGATGATAAACACTTTGTCGCTATGTACCCAGAACTCAGAGCCCACTTAAGTACAAAGACTGCAGAAGTGAGTGAGTTGAAGATTCGCCTTGATGACATGAAGAAGGCGACCCAGCGAGAGACGCAGGCCATGGTGGAGCTCCAGGCCCATTACCAGCACCGACTCCGGGAGAGACACACCGAGGTGGACTCCTTCAAGACGTGAGTTCATCACTGGCCAAGATCATAGGCCTCTGTCTTGTTTTCGAGTGTGAGGGAAGTTCAACTTTCTTGGTTACAGTTAAAGATAAGATGGAATAAACTGAATACCCATCTTGATTTAGATATCAGTCCGTATTGCTCCAAAATAGTTCTCAGACTAAGGATCACCAAGTACCTTTGGTCCCAAATAACCTCATATTTTCATCATTAGTGCGCCAGAAGGACTCCTTGTTTTTGCCAACTGCTATTAAAACTGGCTTACTTCAATACCAACTGCATGAAAGTCAGTGAGCCCTGCTTTAGGCATGACAATGACTGTTATTGCAGATCCAAGACTCAAGAGTTGGACAAGGAGAGGGCAGAGTTTGAGACATTCCGGAGGAAGCTGCAGCTGAGACTGAAGGAAGTGGAGGAAGAACTGGACACCCAGAAGAGAGAGCTGTCCACAGGTATGTGGTTCAGTGAGTGAGTTAGTATTGGTTTGTATCACCAATATGCCTGCTGTATTGACAATGCCTGAATGATACATTCTGGGGCAGACATACTGGTGGTTTATGGCACAAGCAAAGATGGTGCAGAAGCTGCCTATTTGTATAGCATGCGAAACTACATCATGCTGTTATGTTCAATTCCCTCATTTGTACAGATCTTGATTGTCCATCAACTCCATACCCAATCTCTAGGGCGTCACAAAAGTTGCAAATGTCTTTGAACTGCATTACTTTGTCATTAGCAGAATCTTGAAAGTCAGTTTCAATATTCAGATGAAAAGATACTGATTAAAAAAACAACATTGTCAACATTCTGTTGAAACAAACACATGATAATGAAAATTCAAATGTTCTGTTACCTTCCCTTGGTGTTCAGTAGTGGTGTTCCGATTAATTGATATAATCGAAGATTGGTCGCAGTGACCAAACGACCAAGCAATCGATCACATTTTCTCATGATCGAACATAAACGATTTTGGAACTACTGTTTTAGTCTTTGAAATACTTGACAATGGAACGTATCTTAGAAGTTGTCTGGGCCTGAAAATGTGTTTAATTCACTTCACTATCTGAAAAGTCATGACTGAATATTACTCTAAGTAGCAAGTTGCATCATGTTATACATATCTGCAATAACAAGCTGGATAAGAAAGTCTGAAAAATGAAGCTAACCAATTTTTTTCGATGATTGTTCGTTGGTAATGAAGCAATCATCAATTGTGAGATTTCAACCAATTCCCAACACTAGTGTTCAGGATAGTACCATGTTGCATAAAACATGACACACCACAGGGATGTGGTGGGCGAGCTGTCTAAGGCACCAGGCTAGTAATCCAGCAAGCTTGAAGTGCCGGGATCGAGCCCACCTGTGACCGGGTGCAAGAAAAACAGCATTGGAGTCAAGTTTGTGTGCAGACTCTTTCAGTGTTGTCACAACCCCTAGTGTACAGTACACAACCCTTAAAAGAACCCACGAATCTGTTGGTAAATGACCAGATGGTGACCACATGAATGCGTGCAAAACACCTAGTTGTGGGTACAGCAATATGCAGTAAACTTGGGCAAAGTACTGTGACTATGTGTCCCAGTCCACCCATCTGTGAATGAGTACCACTATACTTGGTGAGCCTAGTAGCTGCAAGAGTTGTGTTCTCCTGAGGAGTTGAGATTAAAAATATGATGTGCCTTTGAGATTGACATCCAATGATCAAGGGGGAAAACATAGCACCTTTGAGCAGATATTGGCGCTATACAAATATTAGTATATGTGTGTGTGTGTGTGTTTTGTATGTATGTGTGTATGTCATATTTTATGATTTTTCAGGGTTTGAAGAGGCTCTCAAAAGGCGAGAACATGAATTCCGTGTGAAAGCAGATGAAATGGGGGCCAAAGTTTTGGAGTATGAGCTAAAGGTAGGTCAGTCATTGGTTTTACTCTTTGTGTGGTCAGTTTGTGGTCAAAATGTTATATGTTTTAAATAAAAATATCTCTGTATTTGTCACATGATGGGGCATGGGTTACCCAATCATCATGGGTTACTTTGGGGCTTCACAGAAGCCTATGGTCAGGGATTGTAAGGTTTTTCAGGACTCTACCTGTTCTCAAGTGTTTCACTTGGGGCTTTCTTCCCACATTAAGCTGCCATGCCGTGATATAACTGGAATACTGTCCAAAGCAGTGTTAAACCAGCCTCATGTTTTGGCGAAGAAGAGTAGTCCCCCATTGATAGTGAACGTAATCTCAGGAATGTCACATTCAAGCACACGGGTTACAACTAATAATTACACACACTCCATAGTTTTGGCTCCGGTCGATGGGAGAACATTGAACGTAAACTGGTACACAAGTACAGATCCCCAATGTGCAGAGATATCCAAACAATCTTCTGATGATGACAACCACCAAACGATAACGATGACGTCACATGCTCAAATATTTTATGCTTGCAAGAATTAAAATCATCCACATTTACATGGTAACATTATCAGTTTAGAGTGTTTAATTAATTTCCTGTAATCTTATCTAGTTTGCATTGTCATTTTCACCTTGATGACGTGACGGTGTGACAGAAACTTTTTGTGGAGGGTCACCGTGGGGATTAGTAGTAATTAGGAAGCCAAGTGACGTCACTAATTCTTAAATGATTTATTGTGTATTATATCAGAGAAGGTGATATGCATGTTTGTAGCAGTAAGATTGTAAGAGGCGACTAACAGGATCGGTCAGGCTCGCTGGCTTGGTTGACTCATGTCATCAGTTCCCAATTGTGCAGATCGATGCTCATGCTTGTTGATCACAGGATTGTCTCGTCCAGACTCAATTATTTACAGACCGCCGCCATATAGCTGGAATATTGCTGAGTGCAGCGTAAACCTAAACTCACTCACTCTCTCTCTCTCTCTCACTCACTCACTTACTCTACTTTGATATAGGGTGATGGGTTGCCTGGTGGTTGAAGTGTTTTATGACTTGTCATGCGAAGACCCGGGCTTGATTCCCCACATGGATAACATGTGTAAAGCCCATTTCTGGTGTCCCCCACAGTGAAATTGCTGGAATATTGATAAAACTGTGTAAAAACTCACTCACTCACTCAATTTTGATACTGTCAGCAAGTTTGTGACCCTTTTGCAAGATATTTGTTGCATAACATGTGTTTATGACTGGAGATGGTTTCTCAGGCAAAGCTGTTAGACAAGGAGCTTGAGATGGTGAAGTCCTCCCAGAACAAGCAGCGTGAGCTTTGCAAGGAGTCCGAGTCTCACACAAGGCAGCTGGAGAAGGCTGTGAAAGAGAGAGACTGGGCCATCAAGGATGTCACTGTCATGAAGGATGCAAGGTGAGTGAGGCCTTGCCACCAGGAGGCTGTGAAGGAGAGAGACTGGGCCATCAAGGATATCACTGTCATGAAGGATGCAAGGTGAGTGAGGCCTTGCCATCAGGAGGCTGTGAAGGAGAGAGACTGGGCCATCAAGGATATTACTGAAATGAAGGATGCAAGGTGAGTGAGGCCTTGCCATCAGGGAGATGCAAGGTGAGTGAGGGCCTTGCCATCAGGAGGCTGTGAAGGAGAGAGACTGGGCCATCAAGGATATCACTGTCATGAAGGATGCAAGGTGAGTGAGGCCTGGGCCATCAGGACTGGCATGAAGGATGAAGAGTGAGAGCCATCAGGAGGCCATCAGAGACTGGGCCATTAAGGATATTACTGAAATGAAGGATGAGGTGAGTGAGGTGCCATCAGGAGGCTGTGCAGAGAGAGACTGGGCCATCAAAGGCCATCATGAAGGATGCAAGAGTGAGGCCTTGCCATCAGGAGGCTGTGAAGGAGAGAGACTGGGCCATCAAGGATATCACTGTCATGAAGGATGCAAGGTGAGTGAGGCCTTGCCATCAGGAGGCTGTGAAGGAGAGAGACTGGGCCATCAAGGATATCACTGTCATGAAGGATGCAAGGTGAGTGAGGCCTTGCCACCAGGAGGCTGTGAAGGAGAGAGACTGGGCCATCAAGGATATCACTGTCATGAAGGATGCAAGGTGAGTGAGGCCTTGCCACAGGAGGCTGTGAAGGAGAGAGACTGGACCATCAAGGATATCACTGAAATAAAGGATGCAAGGATTTCTGCTGAGACATGTTCTTTATCTAGCAACCTCGTCATGAAGTTTCCAGGCAAGGGTGGGTGTTGTGGAGATGTTGAACATTACCTGTTCTGAATACTGGTTAAGTAAATACAAATATGAAAAACTGAAAATTGCAGTTTTGTGTCTGGCTACATATCAGGATGGTACACATTGTGTTCAAGTATGACACTGACAGTTTTACAAAACCACCCTCATGTTGTCTTATTGAGAGTTGCCACTGTTGTATTATTGCTACATATTTCAGAATATCTGAGCTGGAGACCAAGCTCCGTGAGACTGAGACAGGCATCGCTAGGTTGCAGGAGGACTTTCAACGCAAGTAAGACCACTCATCATTGCATGACATAACTGTAGAGACGGAACAACACAACATGTGTCACAGTGAACTTATTGTTTGGAATCCTAAATATTATAAACATTTTTTTGCTTGGTCATTCCAACATGTGAACCCTGCCAGCAACATGTAAAAAAAGATGCAGACAAGAAAATAACACTGACATATTATTACAGATTTTCTGAGATGGACTTGATGATGCGTGAGAAGGAAGGTGCCCTTGGCAAGGTAAAGGACGCATGTGTTGAGCGGGAAGAGAAGTTACAGACCACAGCTCGTGAGCTGCAGTCTCAGCTGGAGGACCAGCAGATAGAGATCCGTCGGCTGGAGTGGCAGAACCAAGACCTCAGCAAAGACAGAGACGTCCAGATCACCAAGTAGGGAGCCTTCTAGTATCAGTGTATATGCTGTGTTTTAGTGGACTAAATGTTAAGCCTGTGTTACGTTCGGGTTGATTTTACTCTTAACATAACTGGTATAAATGCTTTTGAAGAGAGTCACATATTGATTCGATTGAACTCTACAGTCAGTAGATATTATTAGTGTTGATGTGGGGATCAGGCTGTTCTAACACTGAGATAGATTTACTCTGTCACTTATCCTTTTCTCATGAACTTCAATCAGACTCCGTGAAGAACTGGAGAGTCAGCAAGAAAAGTGGGAGCGACACCTGGGTGAGGTGTCACACAGTCAGGTGTCACGGGACGTGGAGCTGGAAGCCCTGAGGGAGAGAGAGAGCAAGTTTCAGGTGGAGCTGCAGCAGAAGAAACAGGACATTGACAGGTAGGATGTTCTTCCTGGTTGTCATCACATGTATGTGTACTCCACACACTGCAGGTGTTATAGTGTATTGGTATATGTACCCAGACTGTGCAGGTGTTATGGTACATGTATGACAGAAATATGTACCCGCTCTGAAGGTGTTGTGGTACAGTTATGGTATAACTTGTGTATATACCCACACTGTGAAGGTGATACGGTATAAGTGGTATATGTACCCACACTGAAGGTGTTGTGGTACAGTTATGGTATAACTTGTGTATATACCCACACTGTGAAGGTGATATGGTATAAGTGGTATATGTAACCACTCTGAAGGTGTTGTTGTACAGTTATGGTATAACTTGTGTATATACCCACACTGTGAAGGTGATATGGTATAAGTGGTATATGTACCCACACTGAAGGTGTTGTGGTACAGTTATGGTATAACTTGTGTATATACCCACACTGTGAAGGTGATATGGTATAAGTGGTATATGTACCCACACTGAAGGTGTTGTGGTACAGTTATGGTATAACTTGTGTATATACCCACACTGTGAAGGTGATACGGTATAAGTGGTATATGTACCCACACTGAAGGTGTTGTGGTACAGTTATGGTATAACTTGTGTATATACCCACACTGTGAAGGTGATATGGTATAAGTGGTATATGTACCCACACTGAAGGTGTTGTGGTACAGTTATGGTATAACTTGTGTATATACCCACACTGTGAAGGTGATACGGTATAAGTGGTATATGTACCCACACTGAAGGTGTTGTGGTACAGTTATGGTATAACTTGTGTATATACCCACACTGTGAAGGTGATACGGTATAAGTGGTATATGTACCCACACTGAAGGTGTTGTGGTACAGTTATGGTATAACTTCTGTATATACCCACACTGTGAAGGTGATACGGTATAAGTGGTATATGTAACCACTCTGAAGGTGTTGTGGTACAGTTATGGTATAACTTGTGTATATACCCACACTGTGAAGGTGATACGGTATAAGTGGTATATGTACCCACACTGAAGGTGTTGTGGTACAGTTATGGTATAACTTGTGTATATACCCACACTGTGAAGGTGATATGGTATAAGTGGTATATGTACCCACACTGTGAAAGTGTTGTGATACAGTTATGATATAACTTGTGTATATACCCACACTGTGAAGGTGATACGGTATAAGTGGTATATGTACCCACACTGTGAAGGTGTTGTGATACAGTTATGGTATAACTTGTGTATATACCCACACTGTGAAGGTGATACGGTATAAGTGGTATATGTACCCACACTGTGAAGGTGTTGTGATACAGTTATGGTATAACTTGTGTATATACCCACACTGTGAAGGTGATACGGTATAAGTGGTATATGTACCCACACTGAAGGTGTTGTGATACAGTTATGGTATAACTTGTGTATATACCCACACTGTGAAGGTGATATGGTATAAGTGGTATATGTACCCACACTGAAGGTGTTGTGGTACAGTTATGGTATAACTTGTGTATATACCCACACTGTGAAAGTGATACGGTATAAGTGGTATATGTACCCACGCTGAAGGTGTTGTGGTACAGTTATGGTATAACTTGTGTATATACCCACACTGTGAAGGTGATATGGTATAAGTGGTATATGTACCCACACTGTGAAGGTGTTATGATATAACTGATGATGATGGTACAGCTAGTATATGTACCCCACATGTACAGGTGTTATCAAATACTTTGTATATGGTTACCCCAATATGTGTGGGTGTCATGATATAACTGGTATATGTGCCCCAATATGTGTGGGTGTCATGATATAACTGGTATATGTACCCCAATATGTGAGGGTGTCATGATATAACTGGTATATGTTTACCCCAATATGTGTGGGTGCCATGATATAACTGGTATATGTACCCCAATATGTGAGGGTGTCATGATATAACTGGTATATGTACCCCAATATGTGCGGGTGTCATGATATAATTGGTACATTTACCCCAGTATGTGTGGGTGTCATGATATAATTGGTACATTTACCCCAATATGTGTGGGTGTCATGATATAACTGGTATATGTACCCCAATATGTGAGGGTGTCATGATATAACTGGTATATGTACCCCAATATGTGCGGGTGTCATGATATAATTGGTACATTTACCCCAATATGTGTGGGTGTCATGATATAACCGGTATAACTGATATATGTACCCCAGTATGTACGGGTGTTATGATATAACTGGTGTATGTATCCACACTGTGAGGGTGTCATGATATAACTGGTATATGTACCCCAATATGTGCGGGTGTCATGATATAATAAGGTATAGCTGATATATGTACCCCAATATGTACGGGTGTTATGATATAACTGGTGTATGTATCCACACTGTGCGGGTGTCATGATATAACTGGTATAAGTACCCCAATAAGTACAGGTGTTATGATATAACTGGTGTATGTATCCACACTGTGAGGGGCTCATGGTAAAACTGGTATATGTACCCAAATATGTGCAGGCGTTATGTTATACCTTGTATATGTACCTGAATATTATTAGTTACACAGTGTTTTGAAAGGGTAATACGGGACTGTAAGACCCTTGTAAAAGGCGTAATTTACAAGGGTCTTACAGTCCCGTACACCCTTTCAAAACACCGTCTGACGAATTTATTACCCTTAGGATCTTTTTATTTAGCCTATCTTTAAACAACAACATTCAATCATCGGCCGAATGAGACGCAAAACGTTTTGCCAGGATGTCTTTTTAACTGTCATAAAGGGAGATAACTCGGGATGGATTAGTTTATGATAAACAATATCGAATTTGAGGTTTTGTTAAACGACAAGTGAAATACAAAAACATTTTATTTTGTGGATATATTTATTGACACAAACAAATAAGAAATTATGACAACAATTTTATTACTCTGTTTATACTCATAATTGTATACGCCAACTCTAAAATTTTGAAGCAATCAGCCGTTTGGCAGCCACATTCCATATAAGGTCAAGGTCATTCGAATCGTACAACCCGTGTAGTGTGTCACATGACAGATTTGACGGGGTGTATGGTACGTACACCCTGGCAAATCCACCTACATGGTTTGGTATGTTTTGACTATCGACCAATCAGAATTCGACAAATTTATCTTAAGGGTAATAAGTGCAGGTATTATGGTTTAACAGAAGTTGACACCATTGGTTATATCCAACTTCCGCACAGGTTATTTCAGTCTTTCAACTAGATTTAAGGATACAACAACTAGCCTGTCAAGTGTTTCCCTGGGCCCAACTGACAGACCTGTGCTGTGTCCCCGTATATCTGGTTCTCCCTGTAGGTACAAGAGAGACCTGAGTCAGGCAGCTGAGAGAGAGGCGAGTCTGGAGAGAAGCAAGGCACAGTTGGAACTAGACTGGCAGAGGAGGCTGGAGGATGCAGAGAGACACCAGTATGATCGCTCCGAGGACCTAATTAAGAAACTCACCTCTGCCCGAGATCAGGTAAGTGAAATAACCAGATCTCTGATCGAGATGAGGTTAGAGTATAGTCAGTCTGATGACCTCATCGAGAAGCTCACATCAGCCTGAGGTCAGGTTAAGTACCAGGCCCAAAGACCATTGAGAAGCTCACACAGCTCATGATCTGGTAGGTAAAACTAACTAGGAATCTTCACGATTAGGTAAAAGAAGCAGAACAGGAAGGTTACAGGTGTAACATGTTAAATCAGCACAGAATTAGGTCATCCCCAGAGGTTAGACATGTATGGCTGGAGGTGGACTGAATTGTAATGATCACAGGTAAATAGTACCAAAGACTTCATAGTCTTCTCCACTGGAGATGGTTTTAGGAATCCAATTTATTAAAAGTCTGTCTCATAAGGTAATGCTCAAGGGAGTTTTCCCAAATAAAAAGAATTGAAAGAACATGTTATCACATAATGTTACGGCTTAAGTGAGTGAGTGAGTTTAGTGTTACACCGCACTCAGCAATATTCCAGCTATATGGCCTCGGTCTGTAAATAATCGAGTCTGGACCAGATAATCCAGTGATCAACAGCATGAGCATCGATCTGCGCAACTGGGAACCGATGACATGTGTCAACCAAGTCAGTGAGCCTGACCACCCGATCCCGTTAGTCGCCTGTTACGACAAGCATGGTTTACAGAAGATCAATTCTATCCCAGACCTTCACGGGTTTATGGCCTAAGTGATTTGCTCAGTATTAAGAAAAGTTTACTTGGAGGAATATTTCAATATCTCAAGACCAACCTAAGTATGTAAATAATATAGGTTAACAAATTTCAGTGACATTGATGCTATTTCACTACCTTTGAAAGAAATTGGCCTGATATTATGAGTATTCCAGCATCAGGACCAGTGCATGATGCCCATGTCGATGTTGCAGGCTGTGGCTGAGGTGAGGGAGAAGTTGCGGGAGATGGAGCAGAAAGACATGCTGATAAACACTCTACAACGGGACCGAAATATCGCCATGGCAACCCTTAAACATCATGGGATTCCTATCAACAAGAACATAAATGTAATTCTTTTTCAACTTCTTTTTATTCGTGAGTGGCACCTCACACATACATATTCTATATTGTACTTCCTAACTTCTAAAATGCCACTCAAAGAAGTCACTCTGTACCGTCAGTGACACAAATTATTGTAGTAATTGGATGATGAGTTACAACGTAGATAATGACAGAGAATCATGACGACATATCCTTGAATCCAGGTTGACAGCTCGGTGTTTGAGGAAGAGAGTCGGCATGACCTGCTGCAGCTGCAGGAGCAGAACGACAACCTCCGGGAGGTGATACGGCAGATGAGGGAACAGATGGAGGACCTAGGCCACAACCTCCCCACACAGCCAGGCAGCCCCACTGCACCTTCAAGAGGTGTGTGGAGCCCTTCAAGACAGTGCCCAGTTTCATTTTCTTAGGACCTTAGTGTATAATACAAATTTAACCATTGTTGATGCCATATTGTTGTTGTCTGATTCTGAGCCAGGACTTAACTGACCATTCTAAAATGTGTAACTGGTGCAAGTATTGGTCATTATGCAAAGTTATTGAGAGATTATATACTAACTGTAATATGGTCAGTGTGAGATAAATCTATGAAATATTTTGATTCTGGAAGTAGCATCAACAGATTCTCCCGATTTGTCTATCATGGAATGAACTCAACAGCATGTCACTGTTGCCATGTGCCAGTGGACCACTGAATATGTCTGAGGTGTTTATCAGCTGTAGTGAAGAATTTGAACCTTTTTGCTATTAAGAAATTTCTTAAAGTTTGAATATCTGATATTTCCATAAAGTTTTCACCGAAAATCATGGATTATATTTTACAATAATTCAGACACATACCAGCCTTGAAGTCATCCTGTATTTTGACATTACATGTTTGATATCTCAGACTATGTGGCCAGCCTGGAGCAGGAGGTCACACAGCTCAAGCAGAAGCTGAGGAAGCTGAAGGAGGAACTGGAGGCTCACAAGATGCCTGGGGTCGCATCACATGCAGAGAATGATGACATCATGGTTGAGGTCAAGGACAATACGGTGGTCAGGAACCACATTCAGATGCTCAACAATATGCTGGGTAAGATGAGCAGGGACAGAGGGATCATAAACTGAGTTAGGGTACCACCAGTATCTGAATGGTTAAATGTGGGTGTGTAAGTTTAATGTAAATGGAGAGCCCAATGTGACAAATACTTTACATTTTTCCTTATCCCGACTCATGCTAAATGCTTGTCTCCTTCTTCTTGCGAATGATAGTGGAACACTTGAAATCCCTTAAAGTTCCCTTCTAAAAAGCGGACGTAAAAAGACCTTCTATCAACGCAGAGATCGGGTACCAGAGATAGCAGCAGCGTCAACTCTTCACAAGTGCAGCGTGCCTTAGAAGATGCCTCATCGTTGTCAGAAGCATCATCAACCCTGCAGCAGTCTCATCAGACATCGCAGAACTTCAACCCGGGGCTGTTTATGCAACAGTTTACAGACCAGATGATGTCAATGATGGAACGTCGCTTCGCACAGGAGAAAGTTGCTACGAAGACCACTACAATGACTACATGCCTGCATGAAGATTCAGCAGTCTCTCCAACGCACTTGGAAGAAGAGGGAAGCCTGCTCGAAGGCTAACTCACCCGACGATCTTCCCCGTATGAAGTTAGGAGCCTGGACAACGCTACCAACGTAAGCTCAGCCTTAGACGTCTCTGAATGAGCCGCTAAGAATTCTCCAAGCAGAAGCAGATCGAAGCGTTCTCCGAACCCTACAGACGTCGTAGATACGGATCGTCATCACCATCGGACTCAGACGCACATCGGGAACCTGCACGCAGGCACTCCACATCTAACAGAGGGGAAACTACACCTAAGAATGAACCTTCACGAAGGCCTAGGGGAGAGATCTCAAGACTCCAGGAAGGATACACAATCACATCGGGATCGTTCACCTGCGCGCAGTTCGTCATACAGATCTTGATACAGAGACTCACGTCGTCGTGGATCGTCAGATCGGGAGTCTAAATCAGATGAAGAAGGTGAAGTCATATTCTCTGATGCGGAAGTAACCTCATGGATTGCTACTGTCATGGACTTAGCATCAGCTTCCAAGGACACAGATGAAGCGTTTACATACAAGATGTCCAACGATGATTTCGACACACTCACCTTTCAACCTATCGACCCGATCTCCCAAGTACTGGACAGTCTCAGCTCAGCCTTTGATAAGGCTACCAAGTTCCAGAATCAACATATCCCGAAAGTTCAACGCCAGGAGATTCCCCTTACATCACATGGAACCCTTCCTGAAGGCACCAGAGATTGATGAGGACTACAAGATCATCAACGACTCCCGCTATAGAACTTACAAGATAGAGGACAAGAAGCTAGCGCAACTGGATACGACTACTAGACGTACCTTTTTTGGATTAGCTAGGTCTAGGGCTATTAACGAAGTACTCATCTTGAAGTTCAAGAACTCCACCGCCCAAGACGACCGGATGATATATTCTGCTCTACTGGCTCAGAAAATGGACCACCAGTTTATATCGTAGCATCTAGCATCCACATCAGCGGGCCTGACTCTCCTGAGGAGGCAAGGATTATTGTCAGCATGCACCGGGAGTGAGCAGTTCACCAAGTCCTTATACAGAGCCCCATGGTCAGCATCATCCATCTTTGGAGGAGGAATTGAAGAAGTCGCCAAAGAGGTTACACACGAATCAAGGGAGGTCATGATGATAAACGAACATGATTTGAATCAAGACATTGTGACATCGTACATCTAGGACTGAGATGGGATTTTATTGCCAAGAACCAACTGCCCGGCCAGCCTGACAGACAGTTCCACATCCCAGCACTTTCTACAGTCCTTGGGCCACAGGATACACAGGATTTATCCTTATGCCCTGTCAGAGCATTGAAAGTCTACCTACAAAGGACAAAAACAAGGAGACGAAAATCAAGCTCCTATTCATCCCCTTATCCACTGAAACGCCCACAGAAGTCTCACGGACAACGATATCGATATGGATGAGAGCCGTTATACTGAGGACCTACAAAGCAGCAGGACTTGAGCCTCCATGAGCCTCCAATCCCCATGAAGTCAGAGCCTTGGCATCTACACTTGCTCTGCATGGAAACTGCTCGATTACAACAATAATGGAGGGCTGCTTTTGGAAATCGGACACGGTGTTTGCCAAGCACTACCTCAGAGACATTGCCACCGAAGACGTCTCAGGCATTCACCAGTTTGGGCCACTTGTAGCACAACAACTAACGGTTCCACAAAGACGCTGAGAAAAATCTGACCCTTTTATCACGTGACTTGTGAAAACCAACGAGAGCAAATGGTTAAAGTCCATGCACACGTCTAGGACAGGCTAGCATGAGTGATAGACCCTGTACTTGTATAGGACTTACTCGTACATGAAGAAGGGCACATCTCCACTTGATGCGCGCATCAAGAGATGGAGTTGCAATAGATAACTAATTGAACATTAGTATATCTAAAATCCACACAAAAATGTCAGGAGAATTTTCGGAAGAAATCTGACAAGTTGTGGTTCCCCCTCAGACTCATCAGAGGGAAGTTGGAAGAACAGAATCATCAGCAGAGCCATCATAAGTTCCCATGTGAATCCAGGAAGTGGCCTGACCCACCATCGATTCCGACAGATTCTGCAAGCATTTAGCATAAGTCAGGATAAGGAAAAATATGTAATTTTCTGACCAAAATTGATATTTTATACTTATCCTGACTCATGAGGTCAGCCCGCCCAACCTACCCTCTCAGGGCACTCTGGATTTCCCTGTAAATCCGGGTGTCGGGCATACATACTGAGAGAGTGACAAACATGGCTGGTCATGTGACCCAAAAGGGCACCAAAGGAGGCAAGGGAGATTACTCGTGGGTGAGTGATGATTTTACGTCCGCTTTTTAGAAGGGAACTTTAAGGGATTTCAAGTGTTCCACTATCATTCGCAAGAAGAAGGTGACAAGCATTTAGCATGAGTCAGGATAAGTATAAAATATCAATTTTAGTCAGAAAATTACATATTTAACACTGTGGTGAAACTCATGAGAATGGGTATGATTGTGCAAACCAGGGTTTGGAAAAAATTGAATAGATTTGGGATTGGAGCCCAGACCTACCTTGATGTTGCATGCTATCTTGGTTACTGGGAAATTCAGAAACATTTGGAAATTGTGTAGAAAGGATATGATGTGAGGGGGTTGTTGGATGTCTGTTGACCACCTCCATGGTCTTACATGTTGATCAGAGCTGAAAGTTGGTGGGTTGATCCCTGGCAACATCATTCCAAAAGATGATCTCCAGGTGATGATGCCAAGTACTCAGCATTAAGGGTTCAGAGTAGTCATACTGGGTTTAAGTCAGTTGGTTAGCATCGGTTCAGAGTAGTCAGAGTACAGGCAGTACACACTCCACTCCACTTTACCCTCTTAGCCATGGCAATCTTTATAAATGTTGTCATTTCTGCGGCTGTCAATTATTTATTTAGTATTGATACTCATAAATGTATATCAATATTGCATTGACATTTAAAAACTGCTGATACATATATGGGCATCATTTTTGTGTGTGTGTGATTCACAAGGCCACCAAATTCTTAACATCAGTCAGGGAAAAAAAATAATTAATAAAGACAAAATTATCTGAATTATGTTCTTGATTCTGATTTATTGTAATTCTTGTTACAATTTATCGCGTTCTTTGGATTTGTGGCAGCGACTGATTAAAAAATAACCATTTTATATGACGAGGCGGTACGTTTTAGGTTCAAGTCAGCGGTAGTGGAATGAAAAATTTTTTATAAGGGTCGGTCAGTTGAAGAGAAACACAGAAAATATAAATGCTGCCCTATATCACTATATATGATGACATCCCCAGTATTTCTGATATTGTCCTCTCTGTTCCATTAGGCAGTGTGAGGAGTGAGAAGGTGGAGCTGACCGCCCAGGTCCGCAAGCAGCAGGCACGGATACAGTATCTGGAGGGTCGAGGATCTCAGCTGGAGAAGCAGGTGACAACACTCTCTAGACTCACATTCATTACTTCTATATTCTCTTCAGTGAAGAGTCTTTTAATAGGGGGTCAGGCCCAATTATCTTAAATGCCATCAACGTAACAATCACTAAGATTGCATTGTAGAACGAGACCCTGGTTGCTACATTGGTTCTTGGTGCAGACAGTTCATGGATTGCCACCAATAGAGACTGTCTAAAGCTTTTATTGTAGTTGAAGCGTTTTGTGTGTCATTGTATGTGAAACAAATTGCAAATATGGTGTCACTAGTAACATCTTTGTCTGTGTGGATTCCTGTATAGTCTTTGTATTGGTGTCCCCAAGTGTTCTTGGATTGGAACCTCTTTTCAGTTAAAGGGTCCATTTTATGCCAGAAACCAGTGATTGTGGATTCACTTTGATTGTGTGTCTCGGCTTATCAACACCATACCAAGGACCATGGCTTTCACGGTGGACAGCCTTTAAGGCTTGCATCACAAGAGATCACTTTGTGATATAAATGTAATTTTTTAAAGTAAACTTGATATTTTTATACTTATCCTGACTCATGATCTTTTGCTTATCTCCCTTTCCTTTTCGAACGGTAGTGGAACACTTGAATCCCTTGAAGTTCCCCAAAGCGGACGTAAAAATACACTCACCCACGAGTTACCTCCCTTTTGCCCTTTTCCCGCGCAAACAGTCATGTGACCAGCCTTACTTTTCTAATCATCAATAAGCTCAGTTTACTTTCTCACTATGAATCAGTTGGTCTCCCCTTACAGACTGTGTTCAATTTCAGCCCCGCCAGAAGCAGGTGGAGATTGATCAGCTGCAGTATGAGGTCAACGCTGGGAAGAGGCGGCACGAGGCCGAGGTGGCAGGGTTGAGGTCACGTGTGTCCGACTTGGAGCAGCAGCTGGTGGAGACGAGGAAGGAAGCAGACGAATACTACCGCAGCTGCCTCGAGAGAAACACAGAGGTCACTGCCCTCTCCAATGAGGTCAGATTCCATACCCATGAAAATACTTTTGTAGATTATGTCCTTTATTGCTTCCTGTTGCTTGATTCTCCAGTATAAGAGGATGTTCCCAGCATCACTCGCTTGTAAGTGTAGGCTAAAATGATAGGGCTGTAACAATGCATCGATTCTGTTGTTTGATTCTCCAGTATAAGAGGATGTTCCCAGCATCACTGTAAAATGCATGATTCCTGTTGCATTCTCAAGTGTAGGCTAAAATGATAGGGCTGTAGGCAATGCATCTGATTCTGTTGCTTGATTCTCCAGTATAAAAGGATGTTCCCAGAATCACTAAGAGGACGTCTCCCAGCCAGGCTTGTAAGTGTAGGCTAAAATGATAGGGCTGTAACAATGCATCGATTCTGTTGCTTGATTCTCCAGTATAAGAGGATGTTCCCAGCATCACTCGCTTGTAAGTGTAGGCTAAAATGATAGGGCTGTAACAATGCATCGATTCTGTTGCTTGATTCTCCAGTATAAAAGAGGATGTTCCCAGTATAAGAGCATCACCGCTTGTAAGTGTAGGCTAAAATGATAGGGCTGTAACAATGCATCGATTCTGTTGCTTGATTCTCCAGTATAAAGAGGATGTTCCCAGCATCACTTGCTTGCAAGTGTAGGCTAAAATGATAGGGCTGTAACAATGCATCGATTCTGTTGCTTGATTCTCCAGTATAAGAGGATGTTCCCAGCATCACTCGCTTGTAAGTGTAGGCTAAAATGATAGGGCTGTAACAATGCATCGATTCTGTTGCTTGATTCTCCAGTATAAGAGGATGTTCCCAGAATCACTCGCTTGTAAGTGTAGGCTAAAATGATAGGGCTGTAACAATGCATCGATTCTGTTGCTTGATTCTCCAGTATAAGAGGATGTTCCCAGCATCACTCGTTTGTACTTGCTTGTAAGTGTAGGCTAAAATGATAGGGCTGTAACAATGCATCGATTCTGTTGCTTGATTCTCCAGTATAAAAGGATGTTCCCAGAATCACACGCTTGTAAGTGTAGGCTAAAATGATAGGGCTGTAACAATGCATCGATTCTGTTGCTTGATTCTCCAGTATACGAGGATGTTCCCAGCATCACTCGCTTGTAAGTGTAGGCTAAAATGATAGGGCTGTAACAATGCATCGAACTATCGATGGATTGCAATTGTTGAGTCTCCGATAGCAATTAATCAATGGTAGAAATGAAAAACTATCAATGCAACGATAATATGTGTGACTATCGATAGTTTAGTAATTGACTTCCATTGATAACTTTACAGCACAAAATACAGGAACTACCAGATTCGTTCACTTTGATTTAGAGTTATCCGCCTGTTACCTCTTAAAGAAACATGACTGTTTACTTGATCTTGGTTTCAAGTTTCTTGTCGGTTATTAAAAGGGACTGAAACTACTTCAACTTGTTCTTATTTCGCATAAACTATACCGGCACATTCATTTGGGAAATGACTTCAAATGAGACAATTCAAAGAGAGCAAAACACTTTTACAATAGTATTGCAATAGTTGGTCGCAATAGACTATCTCTATCACAATAGTATGTTGCAATAGACTATCTCTATTACAACAGTAGTTTTCCCCTCAATAGTCACCCCTATAAAATGAACATTGGGTGGTTGCAATGTGTCAACTTGGTTTGGTAAGAGTTTCACCCGTAACCCCTGCTTGAAATATATTCTATTTATTAGGATTATTTCGAGGTTTTAGGGTTAGGTTTAGGGTCTTAGGGTTAGGGTGTGGTTTAGATTTAGGGTAAGTGTTAAGTTTTCTTATATAAAACATTTGTTCTTAGGTATAGAATGATAAAATAAAACGGGGTTACGGGCGGAAATCTTTCCCTTGGTTTACTGTGTCATCGTGTGTACCCCGATGACATATCTTCAGTATGCAGTCAACCGCTGACAAGACAAGACTTGATTATATACAGGTCACCATTATGACACTTGAATATCACTGATTTCCATTAAAAAAAAAATCACTCAAGTAGACATGTGGCATGTAAAACTAGTAGGGCTGCACAATATAACCGGTTTACCGGTATTTACCGGTTCAGACATGAAAACGATACATATTGCGATACGCTGATCGAAAACCGGTATTTTGACATGCATTTGGAAAACTTCGTAACACTCGGAAATCTGCAGATGTTTCCGTTTCTTTAATTCTTCGTTTCCTTCTATATTTGTGGCAACTATTGTTTATATTTTTATTCAAGCTTAATCAAGCATAGTCATTTTTGGTGTTTTTGCTTTATAAATCAAGCATTAATTCGTTTTTTTGTTAAAAAAGAACTTCTTGCAATATATTGCAATACATATCGCAATATATGCTTTCGCATCGCAGTATATCTCAATATGAAAATTCTCTGCAATACCCACCCCTAAAAACTAGGTACTGGCCTTCTTTATTGAATAGTATTATCAGTTTCAGCAGGATTAAACAGGATGACTCTCCTGTTGATTTTAATTTAATTTCACACTTTTTAATGAGTCTAAAACTTGGTGTCACCAGACATGGTCAACATATGCTGATAAATTTGAACAAACCTTAACTTGCAGTCATGTGTAAAACTATCCAATTCAGCTTGCAAATGTATGGTCCATGGATCAAAAAGCCAAGAAGAGAAAAAATGCTTTATGAGAGGCAGTATTAGTTTTATATACATGAAACTGCAGATTCTTTATTTACAGGTAATTGACACATATTGGGTAAATAGTAAGCACAGAAATAGTGAACAGATTTACTACATCCTAGGAATACTTGTGTTACTGAGATGTTTGTTTATTCCAGTTATCAGCCATGAAGATGGAAATCAGTGAGAGAAGACCAGCAGTCAACTTCGGGGCACAGGTTGGAGTGTAGAAAAGTAGACATTTAGAGTGTAGAAAAGTTGACATTTGAAGTGTAGAAAAGTAGACATTTGAAGTGTAGAAAAGTAGACATTTGAAGTGTAGAAAAGTTGACATTTAGAGTGTAGAAAAGTAGACATTTAGAGTGTAGAAAAGTAGACATTCGGAGTGTAGTAAAGTAGACATTTAGAGTGTAGAAAAGTAGACATTCGGATTGTAGAAAAGTAGACATTTCGGAGTGTAGAAAAGTAGACATTCGGAGCGTAGAAAAGTAGGCATTTGGAGTGTAGAAAAATAGAGTGTAGAAAAGTAGACATTCGGTGTGTAGAAAAGTAGGCATTCAGTGTGTAGAAAGTAGACATCTGGAGAGTAGAAAAGTAGACATTTGGAGCGTAGAAAAGTAGATATTTAGAGTGTAGAAAAGTAGACATTGTGGAATTTACTGCAACATAAACCTGTGGAACAGGAACTGCTGAACAACTCTGTACAGATAGCCAAAACAAGTTTTCGCTTCCCTGCATCCTTTCCTTGTCATAAACAAATTGAAATGTTATAAATTTTGTATATTTTCTCGAGAGAACACATCTGGGAAAAGACCGTGCCCTTTTGCTCCTAGGAGCTTTCAGTCATGTTTATAGATGAGTTGTGTCATAAGACCAGCGAAACAATATCTTATAATTTGCAGACTTAAACAGAAACATATAATGGCAGGATGTCTATAAATGCACACAAGGTAAATCCTCTTGAAATATACAATCTAGTCAAAAACAGGGAAAATCTGTTACACTCTGTCCTGAATTGGTTGCTCTTTCAAAAAAAACATACACAAACTAAAACATTTTTCATATTTAGTTGCCTGGCAGTTACTGTTATATCTAGCAGTTGACAACAAGCATGGCAATGTAGGGAGTGTTTATTTACGCATGCACAGTTCCGCTACATACATACAGAAGTGCCTGTGAAATATACACGGATGACCCACATATAACAGTTACATACTCTCATCAGGCACTTTTAAAGATTACGGTACTTACAGATTGGTCAAGAAATTGGCCAGGGACTCTTACTGGAGCAGGATGCTTACGGTAATATTACGGACACAGCACTGACTTACGCAAAAGCCTACATATCTCATATTTTCAGTGTATATTGTTTTCCAAGGTATCAACAAGGACTATACTGTTGCCATGGGTACATGTTAGGGTTTTATCCAACTGTTGTAGTGAAGTTAATAAAGCATCCATATATCTGTATCCAGGAGCTTGTGATCCAGCAGCTTCAGGATGAGATACTGAGACTGAAACAGAAGGGGAGTGGCATCACATCCACCATGGACAGTATAGGCATGGAGGACAGGCAAGGGGAGACAACTCAAGTGTCAGAGCTTCGAGCCAAGCTGAAGCAGGCAGTGAAACACATCAGTCAGCTAGCCAAGGAAAAACAACAGCTGATTGAAATAGGGAACAGGCTGAGAGCAGAGCTTAAGAAATCTGGTACAATTCTTTTCTCAAACACACCACTACTGACTTACTGTCAACATTGTCATGTATATGTGAAATTACTTTTTTTATACATCAACCTTTAAGAAAATGTCATAACTTCATGTCTTAGTTCGAAAATGGGTCAAAACTATTCATCTAGTTTACTACATTCCTTTGAGTGATGTGGTGGGGTAGCCTAGTGGTTAAAGCGTTCACTCGTCATGCTGAAGACCCGGGTTCAATTCCTCACATGGGTACAATGTGTGAAGCCCTTTTCTGGTGTCCATGATTTATTGCTGGAATATTGCTAAAAGTGGCGTAATATTAAACTCACTCACTCACTCTTTAGAGTGAAGTAATCAATGTGTTGACATGTTAAGGCTACTCAAATTGATATTTTTCATGTGGTGAAAACGTCAGATAATTATGCTGATTTTTCCCCAGTAGCAGGTAACACCCAGACTCCTCTGCCCATGACAGCAGTACGACAAGAGACAGTGTCTCCAGGTCGATCCGGGCCTCCCATGGAGTCCAGACCCAACACAGACCAGTATCACAGTAAATTGCAACAGCTGGAAGCCCTGCAATATCAGCTGACAAAACAGGTGAGTCATATCAATCCACTCCTGTAGAGAGGGTGGGGTTGCGAGGATGTTGTTGTGATTAAGGTGGTTTAAAGATCAAACACATGCTTCTGTTTCCACGACAATGACCTGCACAAATGTTTACGCTTCATAACAAATGTTTTACCTTTTTAAACAGGAGATATGAAACAGCTTTATATGGTAACTGCTGCCAGCTAAATGAGTCTAAAACTACAGGTGTCCACAGACATTTTAGTCAACATGTACTGATAGATTTGAACAAACTTCAACTTGCAGTCATGTGTCAGCCACTATGGCGATTCTGTGGCAAATTTTGACATAATAAGTGAAGGGGATAGGGAGTAAAGTTCAGCACAAAGACTGTATTATTTGATAAAAGACATAACTCTTGATTACACAATGCCATTTAGAAAGTGGTCAAATGTAACATGTTATATTTGGGATTACACTTTCTTAGTAAAGTACAGATTCTAGTACTGTTTGGGTTGAGTCCCATCTGGGATTTGAACCCACACCCTCAGAGTCAGGCACCTAATCGCCAGCACACAAGGTCAGCCGCCTAGACCACTCAGCCTCATATGTGACATAACTCTTGTTGGAATGATACACTAAAGTAAGAAATGCCTCGTGTGTATCATGATCATGTTGTTCTGGCAAAAGGTGAAAAGGGGTGTGAACTGGTACCCTATTCATTCTCCCACTACCCATTGGAAGTGCAGATTAGGACTTGTTACCAGCAGCCTATGCTGGTTGTAAAATGACCATATTGACGGTTATTAGTCAGATGGACTTTCTGATTTGGTTGTTGGCACGACTTTGTACCGTGACACTGTGGATCATTATTCACAATGTCAGTTACACATATAGCTGGAACATAATATACAGGCCGCCCTCATATAGGTGGAACATAATATACAGGCCGACCTCATATAGCTGGAACATAATATACAGGCCGCCCTCATATAGCTGGAACATAATAACTTGTTTGAGTGGCATTTAGAAGTTGGTGTGATGACAGGGCTCCAGATAAGGGTCGTATCGACGTATGTACGGATATAAAATAAGCACGATACGGTAGGAAATAATTTAGAAAACGTAGCAGATACGCACCACAGCAATGGTGTACGGTCTTAGAATCCTTTATAGACGTATTTATCTGAAAATGTATTGTTTTATTGATTATTGCAATGTGGTGGTGCATATATGAAACGAAACACAAGATTACTGATACTCCATTAAATCCCATACTCCTTATGTTGAAAAATTATCTGGAGCCCTGGATGAACAACAAGGAGAGTTCTATGGATATACAACTTCTGCTTGATAATGGTGTTAGTAGCTACACCGAAACGTCGCTCATATTATATTTAACCAAACCTGAAGAGGTTTTAAATTCTTCGAAGAGAGTCGTCCTTGGGGTACATATTATGCATTTTCCAAGCTGAAAATGTCCTGTGACAGTTGTATCAATGTTTTTTGAATAAAAAGATTGTACAATAAATAAACTCTTTTATTTATTATACGGCCCCCACCTCACGGAGTTACCTCCCGTTGAGCATGCGCACCAACTGGGTAAGCACCTAGGCCCGTATCATCATTCCTTCTGCTGAATACATCAGTGAACAGAATTGGCGGGGAGGCGGGAGGCCCTACCCCAAGGACGACTCTCCTCGAAGAATTTAAAACCTCTTCAGGTTTGGTTAATTCTTCTTCATAGAGATCGTCCTTGGGGTACATATTATGCATAAACACAGACTCCCAAAGACCGGAGGCCAGGGAGGAGGGAATTCTGTCCAAGCACACACAAATAGCTATCGTTAATGGGAAAAAATTGAACAGACGCCATAACACTCACCTGTCACATGTCCCAGTTTCGCTTCCGCGAGAGGCATTATGGGAGGGGAACTGACAGGGAGGATTTGTGCTCAAAGACGACCTCCATATGTTAGCATAGGCAATCGCACATGGTACGAATGTCAACAAAGCCCCACCCACCACGTGTCGATTAGTGAGCACCGTAGGGGGGAATGTCAAAACCGCTCACAATCGACCTATTACTCCGTGAGAGAGCGAAATGTGGGTAGTTAGCTCCCAGTAGCAGACATGTCAATAACACACAGTATTGTACAGTAGCGTCAAACAAAACCAATGAACCAAGACTCACTTGGTCAGGGTGGCAGGACACTGTCCACTGGAGAGAACAGAACGGCCAAAGCTCGCACGATTACGGGAATGCGTGTCGAGCTGATAATGCCGAATAAACGCGTGCTAGGCGGCTCCAAATAGCGGCAGAGCAGATCTCTTCAATGGGGAGTGCCGATGCAAAAGCTTTTGATGCGGCTACTGCCCTGACCGAGTGAGCCTTCAACCCCTCAGGGGGAGGCTTGCCCTTAGCCTGATAAGCGGCACAAATACACGAAACTAGCCAGCGAGACAAAGTCTGCTTGCTCGCCGGCACACCAGCCTTCCGCCACACCGTAACAACAGAACAGCTGGGTACCCGCACGGATTCCCTGCGTTCGTTTGATATAGACTTTGAGGGTCTTACGGACATCCAACGGGTGAGTGCTCGTTGCAGAGGTCCCCGATGTGGAAGGCTGGGTAAGAGTGGGAAGTTCGATAGGAGCTGTCACATGGAAAGCGTGATCGACCTTCAGGCGGTACGTATCCGGGATCGACCTTGGGCGAATACAGACACGATCAGTGTGAAACACAGTCAGCGCCGGGTCGGACGACATAGCATGTAAATCGCCGACCCTACGCCCAGACGTTACCGCCACCAGAAAAACAGCCTTCCAAGTTAACAACTGAATGGAAATAGCCGATAGGTGTGAGAAAGTTGGACCGGACAGCCAATCAAGCACAATTGACAAATCCCAAGGTGGGCTGGTTAAGCCTGACAGCAGGTCGAACCGTTCGCCAGCGCTGCTATGCGAGAGGGTGCTGCCCCAGAAGAGCACCATCGACAGGGGTGTGAAAAGTGGAAATAGTGGTGGAGTAGCCGCGAATGGTCGAAGCCGCCAGGCCTTCTTCAAAAAACAAAACCAAAAAACCAAAACTCCAATACTCGGACTAAATCCGCAGAAAAGGGATCTGCAATCCCCCTATCTGAACACCAGCTGCGATAGCGGGACCACCTATCCTCATACTGAACGCTTGTCGAATCCTTCCACCGAAGCCAGAATTGTGTCTGCAACTGCTGCAGGAATTCCGGCGTGCCTCGAGGCTAGACCTGACAGAGGCCAAGCCACCCACTGAATCCGTGGATTTGGGTGGGCGCCCGCTCTGGAGTGAGAATGTCCGGTCGTAAAGGTAATAGAACAGGAGGCTGAGCCAGAAACCTGAGAATTACGGACACCAGCTCTGTGACGGCAAAGCGTGCCAGTAGCACAAGCAGCCGAGCTGGCTGGGTGGACAGCTGTGAAAGGACACGGGAATGAGTGGTAACGCGGAACGCAGAGCACTTTGCCCGTCCAATCCAGCAGGAAAGCGCCGGCAGCCAACGTCCCTGGGTCCGGTATTCGAAGCAGAACACGGGTGTCTGATTCGCCTCGCCCGAGCGCAAACAGATCCACCTGGAAATCCATCCGCAACTGGGGAGATAACTCTGAAAATCTGCCTGTCGAGCATCCATCGTCGCGGGGCCAGGATCCGCGAGAGCTGCCTGCTCGCGACGTTCTCCAGCCCCGGAGATAAACAGGGAGTACCTGACAATCGCACTGAGTGGCACCAGAGGAGAAAGTCCCACTCCCGGAGGCGCTGGGGACACCGTGTCGCCTTGCTTCAGGATGTAACGACATGGCCGTCTGGTTGTCCAACTGAAGACGGACTACCTGGCCACGGACATGCTCTCTGGCGCTTCGAATACCAACCGCACAGCTCTCAGTTCAAACACGTTGATGTGAAGGTGGGCTTCGGGCCGGACCAGAGTCCGGACACCGACAGACTGCCCAGAACACCCCCAGCCCGTGAGGGGGCGATCCGGTCTGAACTGTGAGAGCTGGCGCCGGGATTTCAAGGGGACCCCTGGTGAGATTCCGACATTGGTCCACCACTGAAGGTGAGGTGTCAACCACCGGGGACTGTGAGACTGCGCCCAGGTCCTCCAAGTGAGCCCATGGACTTCGCCAAAGCTTGCTGTATAGGGCGATCCTCAACCGCCCGCCACACTACAGAGATCGCGCCGCAGCCATATTGCCCAGTAGACGGAGCCAAGTCCGTGCTGGTGCCTGGGGCTGGGAGAGGAACGAAAACACCATCTCCCGTACTCTGGTGATCCGGTTGGGCGACAAGGAAACTAGATCCTTGTGCGTTTGGAACCTCGCCCCGAGAAAAACCAAGTCCTGGGTGGGTACCAGGTCGGATTTCTTGAGGTTGATGATCCACCCCAGTCGAACTAGAATGTCTATCACTGTGTGAGTAGCATCTAGGCTCGCTGGCTGTGTTAGTGCTCCGAGCAACCAGTCGCCGAGGTAAGGGTAACAACGCCTTTCCTTGGCGAGCGAAGGCGAGGGTAGCCTGGACTAACATGAGCTTGGTGAACACCCTTGGGGCAGTCGATATGCGAAGGGGAGCACCTTGAATTGGTAAACATCCCGTCGTAGTAAGAGAACCGGAAGGTACTGCTTGAACGATGGATGTATGGGCACATGCAGATACGCATCCTTTAGGTCGATTGCCCGGAGCCAATCGCGGGCTGAACAGAGAGATCACCGAGCGCGAGTGTCTCCATCTTGAAGGATGGTACTTCGAGCATCGCGGTTCAACCCCTTGAGGTTGAGAATGGACGGAACCGCCGCCTTTCTTCGACGAGGAAGTACGTGGAGTAAAATCCGCCTGTTCCTCTCCCCGGTGGAATGCGCCGATTGCGGACTTGTCCAGCAGAGCCTGAACTTCGTCGCAGCAATATGTCCGCCCTTGCCTGACATGACGGCACGGAGTCGCGGCGTATGCCGGTGAAGTCCAGCGGACCTCGCTTCCACAGTGGTAAATGGCCTACACTGATGGTGGACAGCACCCAAGTGTTTTGTGTAGCCTTCTCCCATTCCGGCAGGAATAAAGAGGCGTGCCTCCCACTGGGGCGCGGGTAAGAGCGCGCGGCGTCGCCCAGTAGCGGAGCTGACTGGGCGGACAACACCGGCTTGAACGACAGCCTGATGGGTTAACGGGAGGTCGGGCAGACCTCCGCACTGGCTGAAAAGGCTGGGAGCTAGTCGAGGACTGCTCCTTTGCCCTTGGCGGACCTGTGCCTCCGCTTACCCCTCGCTAAGCGGCGAAGCCAGCCAGCGGACTTCGGGGTAGGCTGCACCCCAGCAGGAGGAAGGTGAGCGGGAGGCGCCGAGGCTTGACACCCGCGGGTGCTCCAACAAGGCCTTAGAGTCCTTGAAGGAGGTAGCTGCAGCGGCAGCCTCCCGTATGACCTGCTGTGCCCCTGGAAAGAGGGTCGCTCCCAGACGGAAGGGGAGGGCCAGCAAGGTCTGCTGTGTCGCTGCTGAGTAACGGCGTGACGACAGCCACAGCTTGCGCATCCCCATGACCGCGCACATCACCGGCTGACGCGGACCGCAAAGAGTCAGCGCTAGCGAGTGGGCCTGCACTTCAGACAACTGACGGAGTAGCACGACATGCAGTGAAACGTCACCAGCATGCCCCTCCGCTTCCAGGGCCGACCTCTGAATCGAGGTGAGGTAGGCCTCATGGACCACCACCCTGACCTGCTGCATAGCGTTCCTGTAAACCTCTCGTGTATACAGGTACGTGCATGCCGCGAGGCTCCCGAAGAACAACGATGGAGTCACAGCCCTTGCCGAGCAGCGCGGTGCTGCTCGGAGGAAGCCGAGCCTCCCCAAAGGCGACTGCAAAAGTGAAAACACACTCATCCACGATATAGGTACCACGCATCAGGGAATCCTCCCCAAGCTGGTATCTCCGGACAAGCTCGGCAAGTCAAAACGGAGGCGAGAACCAGACAAGAGGGGATCGACCACGCCCTGGACTAACGATGGAAGAATGCGGAGCTGGGCGTCTGCGTAGGCTGCCTAGGGGCAAACACCTCGCCTGGCAAGCGGAACTCAGCCGAGTCCGAAGCTGCTAACAGGCACCGCTGCCTGGGGTAGGTACCGGCAATCCTTTGCCTGACCTCCCGCGAGAAGCCGAAGAGAAGCGGAAGGCACCCTCCTGCTCCTCGACCTCCCTAGTGTCCATCGACTGGCGCCCGAGCCCGAAGTCTGAGGCTGGGTCTCCCTCGAAGAGGACCCGAACCCGACCGGTGGGCGGCCTAGCACTAGGAACAACAGAGAGGAGGAGCAGAGTGCCCCCGCCAGTGCCTGCAGGCGTGCACGGACCCGGTCGAGGCGCTGGAGGCATACCAGGCAGAACTGGTGCCTCGGCTCTCATGGGGCCGGGAGAGCGAGGGATCGGAACCCAGGAATCATCAGCGGTCCCTGCGCCAACTCCGAGAGGGACTGGGGAGCACCTCCCTCTCTGGGGCAGCAGGCGTCGACCGGACCGAAGCCAGGAGCAGCAGGTCGGTGCTCCAGGCGCCTCAAGGCCTAGGGATCGAGCGGGCTTGGCGATCCCCCAAGACTCTCCGCATCCACGCTCAGAGTGGGCGAGGAACTCCTGCCGAGTCCTCCAACCGACTCATGAGCGAGGGACCTCATCGAAGTCCGCGCGTGCTGCTGAAACATCTGTGTGATTAAAGTCATGTCAAAACCGCTACCAGGAGCTGGAGCAGGGGACTGGCTCATGATTTTTCCCTTTAGACTTTTAGCCTTAGGCGGGGGACCTGGGTAAGTTCCCTCCCGCCCCGCATCTCTCTAAAGAGAGTATCGGCAGCCCTCCGCTTCTGAGCCCGGGAAAACCCCATACAAATTTCACAGGTTTAGGCCTCATGGCGGTCTTCTCTAGGCAGACAATACATTTGTGCGTGCCTGTCGGCCCGATGGAATACTTTGTCCACAGACCGAACAGGAGGAAAACGCCTGAAAGCAAACACGCATAAAGCATGTAGCTAACGGCAGACCAGCAGCATATATACACGTAGAAAACATTGAAAAATCGTGAAGGCTACCACGGGAAGAAATGGTTGGTTCAATACGCAATATTACAACCCATTGGCACGCTAAACTTCCGCCATGGCAGAGCAACCTCAAGCGTAAACCACGGGAAAGTTAAAGCGTAAAAATAATTAATACAAAGTCACAATTATGAACCAACCGACCGCAAAGCTTTACTGTTCCTTTTGCAAAGGTAATAAAGACCATACATACAGGTGGTGTTCCAGACATTATTCTTTTTCGTTCTGAAAAGGTCAGCTCTGCTCGACACATGCGTCTGTTAGGGGCAGTGACAGCAGAAGGAATGAGGATACGGGCCTAGGTGCTTACCAAGTTGGTGCGCATGCGCAACGGGAGGTAACTCCGTGAGGTGGGGGCCGTATAATAAATAAAAGAGTTTATTTATTGTACAATCTTTTTATTCAAAAAACATTGATACAACTGTCACAGGACATTTTCAGCTTGGAAAATGCATAATATGTACCCCAAGGACGATCTCTATGAAGAAGAATAAAGAAGTTGTATATCCAAAGAACTCTCCTCGTTGGAACATAATATACAGGCCGCCCTCCTATAGCTGGAATTATTCTGAGACATTTTTTCACTGATAGGCATGTTTTGAGCAGCATCACAAGACTAGACTTGTTGTTTCAGGAACTGCAGTATGCCCAGAGGCATGTTGTGCCAGTAATGGAGTACACAGACAGATCTTTAGATGACATCCCGACACGGCACTCAACTAATCCCCACACAGGTAATTTTATCCTTAAACATTGCAGATTCATCTTCAGACCATGTCTAATTATTGATCAGTGGTTGAGTTTTCACCCTCTGTCTTGTATTTGCATGATCAAAACCCTGTGGAGAATATCCACTAAGTATTTCTTAAAGACAGACTAGGCTCGGCCAATAGGGCAATCCAAACCAGATTTATTGCTTTGTTGTGCATATCTATCAAGATGTAAACAATTACCCTATTTACACAGAGGCAATCCCAGAGTTTGGGATATGGCACCAGTAGCAACCTCTAGAACCGCACAGACTGGAAATGGTTCCAGCATCGTTCCACTTTAATCATAATAAATCAAGCGACATTTTTCCAATGTACTGTCAGGACATCTGGAGCAGACATCCAGTTCCCTGGGGGACACACAACAAACCGGACCACAAGGAGTGACCAGTGACCATAAGCTCCTGCTGAGCATGTCGTCTGCAGGAGGGGAGTCACTGCAGGAGATCTGGAGGATGCTGGACGAAAGGCAGAGTCCAGGCATCTTCACACCTAAAACACCTCGCTCCAGAGCTGGTAGGTACAATGTAGCCAAAGATGTGTGAGTCTCCTAATGTATAGCAGTTACTAAAGTGTATTAAATAATTGAAGGGAGTTTCGCATTTGATTATTTTCTGCTTTGTAGTAGAACATGTTGAAGTTTGTTGAATTGTTCTTCAAAGTTGTGTTCAGCTACAGTATGGACCTTGTGAGTGAAGGTGAAAGATGCATTTCTTATTTCTCTAGATATTATGAATCCACCATCTCCTAACATCCGTGTGTCGCCGCGTGTAACCCAAGACAAGGGACTGAGCGATATCTGGAACTAAGACAGACCTTACTAACCGACCATCACCCGAGAGGAAGACAGTCTCTCATAAGGTGAAGGATCAACGGAGAAGTGCTTCTAAATCAAGGAACTATAACATTCGAGATGACACTGCTGTCAGATGACACTAAACTGGACAGTTGACGTCATTGTTTCCAGGCAGTCTGGTCGCCTTCCAGATTACATCTAGAGTCAATCACTTCATCTTATACCTGTCCATTAGCTGGTCAAATTCCGGACATATGAACTGATCCAGTTGATATGAGTGTTCACATACAATCATCTGGTTCCTCTTTGTCCCAAAGGATTGTGTGGCTTGTTCACATAAATAATGTGAAGGAGATAGGGACAGAATCCCGTTGCTTGTATTGTGGAAGGTGTTCACAGAAATCTTCACTAGAAACAGTACTGGTGCATAGATGCCGCCAGTCTATATAGGCAGATGTCAGTCTTCCCTGTTCATCTACAGACAGATAGGTGCAAGTATTATCAGTTGTTAATATGTGCACAAACTCAACTAAATGTACGTCCTGTTCCAGAATTACTCTTGTTGTAAGGATATTGCACATTGTTACAAATAAAGACAAGTCTATGAGATGCTCTTGTTGCTCTGTTGAAGGACCAAAACATAATGCTTGCTTTAGACAATCTATTTATTGCATTTCTCCTGCAGTATCAGTTTACGAGATACAGGACACAGATGAACAAGCACTAAAGTCGGTAGCCCACAGTGACAAAACTACAAGACAAGGGATGTGGGAAAACCCTAAGATCCAGTAGTCCATAGTGATAGAGATAAGAATGTTACAGAGACGACAGGGAGAAGAGGAACAGATGGAGGTGCCAGTCACATGGCTGATGAAAGTGTTTATCATATGTACAGTTTTCTGAATATGAGTTTATGAAGATCTGTTGCCAATCAGCATAGTGTGTCGAGTTCAGCTTTCAGGAGTTGTCTGAACGAGTCCCAGTCACAGCCCAAGTCAGCATGCATCACATCAACCTGCAATGAGATTAACACATTCAGATGCACCTGAACTTCTAATGACCACAATAACTAAAGATTTGGCTTCAGTTAACCTGACACACCCTGCTAAGTGACTTCAAAATGGTTTTCATTATTTGTACCTTCCTTCATACAGGATCGTATGTAGGATTTATTTGTCACATTGACAAAATCAGTCTACCCATTCAAACATGTTAGCTGGGACCAGTGTAGACCTACAGAGAATTGATCTGTGAGTACAGTTTGTTGGGGACTTACCAAGTCAACAATCTATGCATACAGTTTCTTGTTGGGACTACAGTTTGTTGGGGACTTACCAAGTCAACAATCAACAATCTATGTCAACAATCTATGAATACAGTTTGTTGGGGACTTACCAAGTCAACAATCTATGAATACAGTTTGTTGGGGACTTACCAAGTCAACAATCTGTGAATACAGTTTGTTGGGGACTTACCAAGTCAACGATCTATGAATACAGTTTGTTGGGGACTTACCAAGTCAACAATCTATGAATACAGTTTGTTGGGGACTTACCAAGTCAACAATCTGTGAATACAGTTACCAAGTCAACAATGTTGGGGACTTACCAAGTCAACAATCTATGAATACAGTTTGTTGGGGACTTACCAAGTCAACAATCTGTGAATACAGTTTGTTTGGGGACTTACAGTTTGTTGGGACAAGTCAACATGACAATCTGTGAATACAGTTTGTTGGGGGACAAGTCAACAATCTTGAATACAGTTTGTTGGGGACTTACCAAGTCAACAATCTGTGAATACAGTTTGTTGGGGACTTACCAAGTCAACGATCTATGAAGTACAGTTTGTTGGGGACTTACCAAGTCAACAATCTATGAATACAGTTTGTTGGGGACTTACCAAGTCAACAATCTATGAATACAGTTTGTTGGGGACTTACTCAAGTCAACAATCTATGATACATGTTGGGGACTTACCAAGTCAACGATCTATGAATACAGTTTGTTGGGGACTTACCAAGTCAACAATCTATGAATACAGTTTGTTGGGGACTTACCAAGTCAACGATCTGTGAGTACAGTTTGTTGGGGACTTACCAAGTCAACAATCTATGAATACAGTTTGTTGGGGACTTACCAAGTCAACGATCTGTGAGTACAGTTTGTTGGGGACTTACCAAGTCAACAATCTATGAATACAGTTTGTTGGGGACTTACCAAGTCAACGATCTGTGAGTACAGTTTGTGAATGTTCTCCACTCGGGTGCCTGTGGCCTTCTCCTGCTCTTTAAGCTCACACAGAACCTGATGTTTACTCTGCTGGAGACGTTTCAGCTCTTCATCCTGATCTTCCGAGTGGGACTTCACCAACCTTAACAGTGAAAATAGAGTGTGATAAAGAGTTTTCCTGTTTCTTTGCCATGCCCTGCACATATTACAGCTATATGAAAATGGCTTGCAAATATATATTGAAATCTAGGCCAAACAATCAGTGATTGATACTGTGAATAAGGATCCATGTGATTGTGGAATGATGACAAACAATCAACCAAGTCTCGGAGTCCATGCAAACTACTTTAGCATTCTAACAAGTGTGTCAGAGTGTGTCAATGAAACAATACAATAAATGTGCAAAGAACCGAGTTGGTTTTATTCAAACAAAGATCAGAATGCATCTGTGAAACTATAATCTGTGCAAACCTGAGTGGCTTCTGTCTCAGCCTGGTTCAGAATAGTTCTGGTTTTTTTTTTTGAAAGACTTCTGAGAATAGCAATATTCCAGCAACATGGGGACACCTTGCTTCACATATTGTACCCATGTGGGGAAGAAGATCGTGAGAACAATGTCTAGGCTACCCACAGCCCTTTGTAAGAAGATCAGAAATGTCTGTGTAACAATATGAACTAGCAATGAACTGTTGTATCTTAATCCGGGTTGGAACGTGTCTGACACTGTCATATGACTGTTAAATGAACATACTCATTGAGTTGGTTGAGCTGCTCGGTGTATGCCTTCATCTTGGCCTGGTGCTGCATGTGTTGTTTGGTCCTCTTCTCCTGCCTGATGGCCTGGACGTGCTTCAGCTGGTCCTGCTTGGCTGTCAGTTCCCCTAGAGTCTGCTGCTGCTCTTGATGCTGATCTCCGCAGCCAGACATCTGCTCCACAACCTCGCTGTGGACCAAGAGTCGAGTTAATGTAGAAATACATCTACATGGCTTCATTGATGTACATACATTCCCCTAAGTTCATGAAGGCACTGCATCCTTCGAAAGTATTCCTGTATCTATACTGCAACTCGCGTATCACAAGTTGAGTGAATGAGTTAATACTTAACGTCGCCTTGGCAATATTTCAGCCATATCGTGACGATTTCATGTGTTGAGACTTTTGTTGGGATATACCTCAATGAATTTACATTCAGTTAAAACCTGTGCTGGGTTTGCTGACATTCAAGGTAAAAACTGAACAGAAAATACTGTAATGCCTCTCTTTAAGATAATAAACCGTTTAAGTACTGCAAAATATAAATCGGCTTAAGAAAAGCTACTCACTTCTCCTTGTCCACGTCCTGCTTGATAGACTGCAGCAACTTCAGGGCTTTCAGTGCACACGCTTCAAGCTCCTTCACCTTCTTGTGTTCTGCCCTAAGTGTAGCCCCACGTGTTCGCTTCTCATCCAGCGTCATTTTCAGGCCAGCCAGCTTCTGTTCCATTCGTTCCTGTTCTTGTTTTACACGTTCTGGGGACTGAACTATCTTCTGCGACAGCTTCTCCCCTTCCTGCTGGCTGGTGAGGATGGCCAACTTCAACTGATCCTGGCAGGGCAGAGAAAGCACTGTACACGTTCAGCAAAACATCACCTGATTTCCAGGTTACACAGTTAGTCTTAAGACAACACTGGGTTCATTGTCATTGACCGAACATAGAACCATAAGTCCAGTTAGAATTAAATCTTACTTCAAATCTTCAATTCGCATTTAGTGACCAATCCATAAAACCAATGCAAATACTGTTCCAGTTTTTGTGCAACCTTTTTAACTTGAAATCTATTTTCGTGACACATTTGTGAAGACTTTGTGCCCATTAGTGACAGTGGAACTCATTGGCATGTTGCCGGAGTTCAGATGTTTCACTGAAGTTTGTGGTATATAAACTTCCAACATGGATACTTTTCCATTTTGACTTTTGTGAATGTCATATCCCCATGAGCTAGATAATAAGCAATTCTGACCTTTCTTTTTAGCTGAATGAGTTTCATAATAGGTACTATTTTCAATCATTGAATTACAGTTTTATTTCATGAATAATTATCATCATAAATCACCTTCATACTGTCATGTAAACATTTTGTGAAAAGGTTATAGCTAAGTGTGGCTTTTGAAACGAGGAACTTACTTCTACAGTACCACTGGCATTTTCTTATGCAAGGTATTTCTGTTCCTGGACTTATAAATATCAGGATATCACCGTTATTGTATTGACTAATTACAGCCCTGTTACTGTTGTATTCAAGTACATACCTGTGCTGCTTTTTTCTCTGCAATGTTTTTCCTGACTTCTGCAACAGTCTTCTGTGTGGCTGATTGAATCTTGTGGTTCTCACTCACCTGTCTCCCCATCACCTCTATTTCCTCCATCACCTGCATCATCATGCAACATTAATTATATTTTGATTGCTTAATATATTTCTTACCTAACTTCCAAATGATTAAATATAATTTCTGTCTGTTGTTTACACCCCGGTCAACAATATTCAAGCCATTACACTGCAGCCTGTCAATAATCAAATCATTGCCAGTAAACAAGTGGCATAGTTTATTGCATTCGGACGCTGTTTACTGTAAATGAAACATACCTGACTATCCAATCTAACTTAGTCACATCTTACAACCGGGAACCTTGTCTAAGTTACGTCACCACAGGTGTTAAATTTAATACACCATGAAAAAATAGTTCAGTTCATTCAAACTTTAAATATGAACAAAATATTTTTGTTTTGTGCACCAATATGATTACTATGGTCAATGATGAGAGTAAAGTCACTGAAGAACCAGGGCCCTTATTCTCGAAACATTCGTAGCCCTAAGAATTCTTAACGTTTATCGTAACCAATGTGTTAAGAATGGGCTTAAGAAGCTCGTAGGGCTACGAACGTTTCGAGAATAGCTAGCCTGGTTGCCATATACATACCAGGAATAAGCACTCACCTTTTTAATCTCAGGCTCCTGCTCTGCACGGATAGCCTTAAGCTTGCTGATCTTCTGTTTCAGTTCATCATTAGACTTTAACAAATATTCTCGCTGTTCTCTGTATCGTTCCTGCAAACAAACATGTAATGAACAGTGACTAGTTGCCTTGACCAACATATTCATGTATTTGAAGAATCCTGACAAAAACAGGTGGCGGGTGAAGAAGTAAAGAGTTACCCCCTTTTCACACAAGTGATGAGGCACTCTGGGTGAACTGCTTCTGTTAGTGATGGACTGTTCATAGTTTGTTTGCATATTCCATGAATGTGAATATATTCATCAGGTAGAATTTTGGACTTAAGGCCAAATAAAAAAATGTTGTGGTTCCAATTACACCTCCTTAAAATTTAGGGTAGGTAGGATTTCTCTTTTTCACATTATTTTTAGAAGTAAAGTACAAACTAATAACACATTTATCAGTGTGTAGTTGTTTATTCAATCAAACTTGCTGCCATCATGTCGACTTTCTCTTTCAGAATGACCGATGTACTGGTATGTTGATACAAAACCAACAGCTTCAATAATTAGGGTTGGCACCAGAATTAAAGTGTCGGTCGGGTAATCAGAACCACAACCTTTTTTTAGGCCTAACATTTAAAAATCACCCATCGGCACTGTAGCTAACCTAGTCTACATTTTTAAAAATGCTGCTGAACAAAAGTTGAAAACAGGGACAAATAAGCATTTTGATACAGTCTAAGAACATATGTTGAACACCACTACAAACTGAACATTGCATTTTGAACATAAATTGACTTAGTAATAGTCACAAATTCTTATTACAAAATGGCCACTACAGCTGCAATAGTGAAAATATTATTCAGGTCAAAAATCAAAATAGTGCAAAAAACATATTGAATGTGTTTAGCCCCACTACTAACTACACATGTACCAAGTTCCAGTATGTCTTGAACAAAAATACTGGTCAAGTAATAGACATAAAGAGGTTTTTAAAACATAGCTGCCATACTGAAAACTGTCTGAAAACCTCTTGAACAAATTTGGGATGTCATCATTGGTAGAAACAACTATGTGATGCATCCAACTGCCACACAAAGGCTGAATATGACTTACATTCTTAGCTTTGAGTTCATCAAACATCTCTATTCTTGACTGCCGAAATCGGTAGAAGTTTATGGCTGCACTCATTATCTTGATGAGACGCTTTGGTCCTGAGAAATGGTATCATATCAGTATAATGAAATGAAAACAACATCAACTTTTCATTCATATTGTGAAAACAGCTACTCCATAAATGACAATAAAGAGATCTTGAATATTTTATGAAGATTAAGTGAATGTGATAATAAATGTATGACACCAAATATTTGTATTCAAGAGACAAATGGCAGATCAAACTTACTTGGATCAATGACATCCTTAACACTGAAATCTGTGAAGGCGCATGCGTACATCACCCGCTGACTGGAAATAGAATTCTCAAATTCTGAAAAGGTTCAGTTTTCTTAAATAATAATTGTTTCTGTGGAAAATATTACTCAGGTCATCCTACCACTATAGGATAGACACACAGTCACTAAAAATATGTAATTTTTATGATAAAATTGATATTCTATACTTATCCTGACTCATGCTAAATTGCTTACCTGCCTTTCCCTTTCGATGATTATGTGGAAACTTGAATCCCTTTGTTCCCAAGAACAGTCAAAATTCACTCACCCATCGGGAGCCCCACTTTCCCGCCAAAAGACCGGAGCCAGGCTCTCATCACTCTCTCCTGAATATGCCCACACTAAGGCCTGCAGTGAAGCCCGTAGTGCTGAGAGGGGACAGTCGGGAGGGCCCTTCAGATCATGAGTCAGGATAAATATATCAATTTTATCATAAAAATTACATATTTTTCCTTATCATGACTCATGCTATATTGATTGCCGAATCCGATGGAATAGGTGGTGGGTCAGCCACCTAATGGGATTCACTGTGACTGTTAGATCAAAATAGCATCTGATCATATGGGAACTCTTCTTACAGCTTCTACTGCAGCCCAAACATCCTGATGACAATTGAGGGGCCACCTTCTCTTAAGTCAATAGAAGAAGTAAACTGTGTAGATTTTGTGGATTTTAGATAAACTAGTACGCCTTGATGTCTAGTTATCTGGAATGATCCATATGTTAAGGTAAGGACTATTACCGAAACTGAATCGCGACCCATCTGTTAAGGTAAGGGCTATTACCGAAACTGAATCGCGACCCATCTGTTAAGGTAAGGACTATTACCGAAACTGAATCGCGACCCATCTGTTAAGGTAAGGGCTATTACCGAAACTGAATCGCGACCCATCTGTTAAGGTAAGGACTATTACCGAAACTGAATCGCGACCCATCTGTTAAGGTAAGGGCTATTACCGAAACTGAGTCTAGACCACTCATGCGCTGACTTATCTTGTAAGACAGTGGAACATGGACTCTCTGCCGGCCTGGCATCAACAAGTCAACGTGATGAGGGTGAGTTTCTCATTGTCTGGCTGGAATTGTGAATTGTTGCACTACTACAGGGGCTCGAACTGGTGTATACCAAATACATCTTCTGTAGCGATACCCCGAAGATAATGGCTGGCGAACACTGTGCCCAACTTCCAGAAGCAGGCTTCCATGATGGATGATAAAGAGCAGACCCCATGCAGGGCAAGTGTCAAGGCTAATGCTCTAACTTCGTGTGGGTTGGAGGCTTCTGGGTGGATCCAACCCTGCTGCTCTGTAGGCTCGTAGGATGACATCTCTGATCCAAAACAAGATCGTTGTTCGGGAGACTTCAATAGTCATGGCAGGTGATAGCGAGATGAAGAGATGCTTGAAGTTCCCCCTCCTTGTAGCAGTCCATTCTAAGTAGATCTTCAAGGCTCTGGACTGGGCACTGGGACAGGTATTGTGTATCATCTGGTCCGAGGATTGTAGACAATGCTGGGACGTGGAATTGTCTATCTGGTTGACCTGGTAGCTGATTCTCCGCTATTAAGTCCCATCTAAATTCCAGGTGGATTGCAGCATGCTCTCTGGACTGGAATCTGGTTCGTCCATAGTCTGTGTATCTCTGACATCTGGCAGCTGTAGCTAGGGTGAGGGGGAACAACGTCTTCTATGTTAGCAGCTCAAAGGTAGTGTGTCTCAGTGGCTTGTAGTCGTCACTGGTAAGATGTTGCAGCACTATGTTGAGGTCCCAGGCTGGAGCTCCAAACTTTTGCTGCTGGTCTTCAAGCTTGAATGACCTCAGTAGGGCAACGAGTTCAGGTACTTTGGTGAGCTTTACTCCCGTATTCATGGTGAGAACGGAGCTGATCTCCACCAAATATGTTGAGAGTGTACATCCCTTCAGGTGTCTAGTAGCTCTGAGATGACACAGGTACTGGGCTCCATGCGGATGTGAAGCTTTCACAGCTGAAAAACCCTTGCGTGCAGCAAACTGGTCCAAATTGTTCCACTATCATCCTGGAGGTTGCAAGTTGATTGTCTAAAGGCCAGTAGCTGCCTTAGCTGCTCTGTTGGAGTACCCTATTCTCTTCAGGCAGTGCGTAATATGTTCCATGTGTGTAGCTGGATGCTCCTGTATGACTTTGGTCTGGACGATCTTGTGTAGAATTTGTGGTAAAGGGATCGGCGGAGGGAACGTGTACGTGTTCAGTCCCTCCCATAATATGGGTAGAGCATCGATAGCCCAGGCTTGAGGATCTGGTACAAGTGAGACGACAGGGAGGGTCTTGGTCTTCGGTCAGTAGTTGGAATGCTTCAGGATGTAGCATCCACTCTGTGGGTGATGGTCGCACCGGTCTGGATAAGGCGTCGGCTCAGACATTCTTTGCCCCTAGAATGTGGCAGGCCTTTATCCATAGGTTGAGGTCGTCTGCAAGGTTAAGAGCTTGAACGTCAATTGTAGCAACTGCGCTGATCTCATTGAGCCTTGTAGATTTATGTAGAAGGCTACTGTTTAGTTGTCTGTGTGGACCATAAGGAACTGATTCCTTAGCAGGTGTGCCCAGTGTTGAACTGCCTCAATGACCGCCTTGAATTCCAGCAATTCCTTGAATTTGTATGTAGAGCCCTTTCTTCCAGCAACCAGGTTCCTGATGCAACGTCTTCATGCTCCCCATCCTTGTAGAGGATGAAGGTTGAAGGCCAGCTCTTGCAAATAGGTTCCGCCGCAGACATTCGACTTGTCCATCCACCAGAGTAGGTACGACTTCAGGTGCTGAGGGATGGATACCTTCTGCAGACTGTTGAGATGAGGTCTGAGGAAGCGTTGTAGCGGTCATAACTGCAGTATTTCTCTGTATGTGAGAGCCTGGGCTGACGTAATGAGGTCTAGTAGACACTGGCATGCTCTTATCAGTAGTGGAGTTGAGAGCAGCTGGAAAACACACCTGGATGCTTGACCACTGATCTCCTGGAACGGTGATTAGATTCTCCATGGTCTCGAATCTGATGCCGAGGAACTACACATCCTGTGACGACTCTAGTTCCCGACTTCATGTGATTGACTATCCAGCCCAGCTGCGTCAGCTGATGGATCGTAAACTGCACTTGACATCTGAGTTGATCTGCTAGTTCATTCACCTTGCAGATCGATGCTGGCTAAGTAGTCGTTGGGTCTAATGAGATGTCGAAGTTGTGGTAAAATGCAGCATCTTGAACTTGTCTGGTTTCAGCAAGTAGTCTAGGTTGTAATGCTACATATTGTAGACGAGACCGAACTTCTCAATAGTAGAAGCCAGGGGTGAGACTGGGTTGATCCAGGATCTCTACGCGTTCTTTGCAAGCAGTGAGTTGATGGCCTCGGTCAACATGATGCGTTTTAACTCGGGGTATTTGTGCACATGCGGGTTGACAGTGAGATGAGAAATCGCCTTGAAGCACTCAAACGACGTAGTCGTCTTCTAGTTATCTCCTATTCTCCTAGTAGTAGCCTAGACGTCAACCCACGGTTGACAGGAATCACTGGGGTTGGAACAGACTAGTCGTTCTAAACCTGACGGGTTTCCGGAAGTTGACGGAGCCGTGACCTCTGGAGATATCTGATGAGCAACAAAATCCTTGAGATCATCCACCCCAGGATGACAGATACCTCTTATCCTTGACCGGAAGTGGTTAAGTTGAGTAGTCTGCCTGTGCATGTTGTTCATTGTCTGCACAGACTTGATCAGCATTTTGTCCTTAGCGTCCTGGACTACGTCTCTGGACATCTGCCGGATGCTGACGTCAAACAGTGTTGGTGCAGAAGGCACTTCTTGTAGAGGTACGGCCAGGTAGATGCTGCTAGGAGACCATGACGATGTAACAGGGTGATTAGTGCTGACACAAACATGCATTCCTGGTCAGTCTTCGGGGTCTGCAGGGCGTTGATCACGGCTTCGTTGATGGCCCAGGATCTTGCAAGGATGAAGAACGCCCTTCTAGTAGTCGTGTAGAGGGGTTTGCGAACAGTTTGAGCGATGTGCGTAGAAGCTGGCTGAATGCTTCGCGAACCCTGCTGGAACAGTTGAGGCTTCTGTCGGGTTGGAGTCACGGTCGGCAACTAATATTTCAGCGTCCATATAGATGGACGAATCCGGATCCTCCTGGATGTTGTCGGCTGATGCCATGGCTTCATCCTGGATGGATTCTCTGAGTGATGCCGCTGGTGTAGATGAGTTGAGGGGACGCTGGAGTTCTGTAGACAACTGCTGCTGCTGCATCACCATGACAACTTGTCAGGTGATATTCGCCACAAAGTCCTGCTGGTTGAAGGACTGCGTAGTAGCATCCAGCAACTGATGTGGAGTATTTGCAGACGATGCGCTGAGATGGGCAGGCAACGTAGGAGGCAGGAAGCCGGAGACAGGGTAGCGTTCCTACTGGAACAGTAGATGCGCCGGGTAGTGTCAACTGCCTGGCCGATGCTGTAGCTGCTGCATGACGATTCTGTGTAGAAGGGTACGCGAACCCTGTAGAGCTTGCTGTAGTTGTCTGCTGCATAGACCTCACAATGATATACGGTTCAAAAACTGGTGGTTGTGAGTAAGGTGAATCGTCTACTTTGTCAGCAGGTGTCAGATTGTTCGCGAACGAGTGATCTTCGGCAGCAGGCTTCGACGACTCCAAAGATTTCATAGAACGTGAAGACCGGAACAATGATGACTGCGACATAGACGGCTTCGACGTAGAAGATGATGACAACTGGTGATGCCACCTTCTGGATACTTCCTCTAAGAGAAGGGCTGAGTTACTGTCTCTGCAAGAGTGGCAGAGACGGGAATAACCACGGAGGGAGATTCCAAAAAATCAGCAGACAAGGGAATGCTAGCATTCCCGGATGATGGTAGAGGAGACAACTCATGACCAGGTGACTGGAAACGCCCTTGTCAGCGGCAATCCTGCTTTGACGCCTAAGTTTGACCATAGTCTGGCGTAAATGAGATAACAATAATTTATTAAATACAAATTCTGATAAATGTGCGAAATATTTACAACGTGAGGCAAGATAACATGATGTGTAAACACAAGAAGATCACACAGGGTGCGGATCAGCCGCTGAAATGCGTAACCTGCATTGTTTACATGCCACCATGTAGAGACAGTCACCTGAAATGGAGTGAAAAAATCTCAGAAATTAGCCCTAATTTACGTAAATATATACATCGCAACAATAATATATTGTCCTAAAATGCAATTCACAGCCTTAATTTCAAAATCTGGCCAAAATTATAAAGGATATAAGCCGTAAAAAGGACCCAGGAAACCACCCAACCATTCGCTCGGGCGATGAAGGAGAGAGTGATGAGAGCTTGGCTCAGGTCACGTGGGCAGACTTTTGGCGGGAAAGTGGGGCTCCTGATGGGTGAGTGAATTTTGAATGTACTTGGGAACAAAGGGATTCAAGTTTCCACATAACCGTCGAAAGAGAAAGGGAGATAAGCAATATAGCATGAGTCAGGATAAGGAAAAATATTCAGTTGTATAAAAAATGGACAAGGTGTGCTAGGAGTTGTTATAAGCCCACGGGTAAAAAGTTAAGAAATATTTGAAATATTACCAACAAATTTACTGGACATGTCCTTATGACTAACAATCAGTATTAAGCAGTTACTTTCAGCGAAAATGCAGAAATATGGATATAAATAAGTACTAGCGGCAAATTTCTGAACTTCAGTAGAAAATGTAACTATGTGCATGGCGCAAGATGGAGTTTTCACCCTATTTTGTAAGTCTGTACATACATCCTAGATTCACCTGAGAGTTCAAAATATGCAAGAGGTGGAAGTTAAATTCTGATTCACAACATTTCTGAAAGTTTTGAACTCACATAGCCAAGGTGAAGGCCATCAAGGACATTGACTCTTCATGTATCTCAGGATTGTCACACAGCTGGGAGCTATGGATGTGTTGCTGAAACAAACATATGATTAAAACATATTTTATCTCACCATTTTGAACTACTTCAATCTGGACGGACGCCGCTTTAGATTACCTTCACTTAAAATAAACAGAGCTCGACAGTCCTTCATACCATCCAGTAATCGTGTTATAAATGCAACAAATGTTTTTGAATAGTCATCATGCATGTGATAACTACTAACTCAACGTCTTTATCTATGTGGTTAATTGTATGGAATAATCTGCATTCATTTTGTGCATGTAATTATTGTGCTTATTTTTGTGAATTTTGGATATATTCATTTTGAGGCCATTTTTGATACAAAAACATTTCCTCCGGGATAATAAAGTTATATCTTATCTCATCTTATCTTAGTTGTGAATGGTAAATCTTGGAATCTGCCATACTAAACATGTCATTTGTCAGGTTCCTGAGATCACATTCAGAATGCTAAATGTTAAAGTGCAATGTAGAGCTCTAATATCCATTTTGAATTTCTTTTCAGAGGACTTTGGATAATGGTATTAATCATCTAAAATAGCCATCATAATTTACCTCCATTCCATACAATTGTTACAAAGTTTACTCTTTGAAGGGATGTATCAGTGTAGATATTCTAAGTCCTATGATCTTTCCTTTGGCCCTATGATGTGCCATTAACAGAATTAAGTCTAATATATTTTCTTAACATGAGTCTATTTACCTGTCTGACTTGGTCTGCTGTGATTCCAGCAAGGGATTCTAGAACCATGCCATATAAGGAATTCCAGCGATGAACCTACATTGAAATACATCTTCAAAATACAACCAATCATGTAAACAAGAAATAGGCAAGTAACATCAACCAGTATGAAATCCAGGAATTCATCCTCTGTCTGATTGGAACATTAGGCTATTTGATAACAACCAAGATCACCGTTAATGTGGGAGAAAAGCCCAATGTGAAGCAAGTGTCAGATGTTTACCATTTTGGTAAAACTAGCAGGAATAGGTATTGTGCTTACAAACAAGAACATAAGCTCTTTGAAGGTCTTTTAGCTGTCATGAGCATAGGAAGTATGAGCATGTTTGTTTTAGTATGAATTAACCAACATGTCCATTAGGACAGTAAATTGCTCATTACAGTGTTTCTAATATCAATAAATGTAAACTGTGGTCTGTAGAAATTATCAAAATACTTGTATCCCTTCACTTACATCAGGTTTCCTCATGTCATTTTCTGTTATTGGAATCTCCATTTCTCTACACACAGTCACTATCTGGTCCACAGTGAGTGTTGGGAACTGGTGACTCAAAGACATCTTTACTTCCTGAAAAACATCATTTCATCCACCAACAGGCATATGGTAGACATTTGGCAACACATCTGAAGAGCTTCAGAAAACAACAGTTGATGATAACATAATTTATATTATGATAAAGTCACAGTACAAGAAGTAGCAACTGACTGAGTTAATGTGACAATAATATAACGTGTTCAAAAGAGTATTTGAGGAAATGATTATTTGTATACATGGTAAAATAGTTACAAAATAAGGTGGCAAACACATTCTATAATCGCACCCTAGAATGACATTTAAGGGGGGGATACGGGCGGAAGTCTTTCCTCAAATCAAACAAACTGATGACACTGTCATAATTCCAAAGTATTCGGTCATGATGTTGAAAGGGCACATTTCACTTGACAAAAATATACCTATTAAAATTATACAACAAAAGAAAACTGTGACTCATGGCCCTACTTGAATTCAATATACAATGAAGATAACTTTAATATACACACTTGAAGTAATACACCAGTAGACTACCGAAGTTGTTTACAAATATTCTTCTTTCAAATCTGGCGCACCGGAAACGGAAAGTGTTTAAAGATGATTACAAAATATGAACTCACTTTGAGCACGAAAAAGAACGTATAGAAACACAATAAACGATCAATTGAAATAATTCACGTATAAAAATGTTTTATTAATTACATAGCATACTTGGGATTTATGAAGCCACTCTGCAAAATATGACGCGCAGAATTGACCGAGAAGTCGTACATTAAATATATGTTGATCGTTAATATATCATTCTCTCATTTCATGTTAGCGAAATCTCAGTGTGAATTGTCTCCCTTTGAAAAATATTCAACAGCATTGCAACCGTGCCTCGACTTCTTCAAAACCGATGTTTACTTTGTTAAATGACTCAATATGATCAGTGAAATCGACAACATTCTTTCCTCAAACTATGAAATAACAAATGAAGGGAGTTTTGTAGGGATCGCCGACAGTTCTGCAGATGGATCGTTTCTTATTCACTACTTTCTCAATTCTAATCTGAGGAAAGGCAGCAAGGTCTGTTTTATAGGGTTTGCCCAATCTTTCAACCATTACTCTACAGTTGCTCAAAAGCAAGGCGTCAGCCTGAATACAGAAAAAGAAAATGGGAATCTTGTATTCATTGAGGGAATGAAATACCTTGGGCAGGCAATCTGCCACCAGGCACTTGGCTCACAAGACACAGAAGGAGGAAAGAGCCAAGACCCATTTTCTTGTTTAGCGAAGCAATGCAGCCTTCAGCCGTTGTTGCAGTATGTTAAATCACAAATATCGTATATGACTTCAGCGGACAACAAAGCAAGACAAGTGCTGATTATAGATAATCTAAGTTTACTGATAAACATTGGTGTGCAACCAAAAGAAATGGTCACTTTTCTTCATTATCTGAAAAATTCACTCCTAAACATTGACATTCCAGGACAGGTAATTGTTTTATTAAATGTGATGCAAACTGACGAAGATGCCATGTTTCTGTGGAAGTACCTTTGTCACTCTTGTAGTATGACCATGCTTGTGTCTGGGCTACCGAGTGGCTACTGTAGAGATGTACATGGGGAGGTAAGTATTAACAAGTGATATTATTATCATGGTCAGACATGTAAATGCTATATATTATATCAGTTTTACAGAGTTTAGTTTAATAAAACAGAATGGGTTTGTCAATCCTTGTGAGGATTGTTAATCATGTATTTGACAACTCTTCAACAAATTTATTATACCAGTGAGTGTTTGAAAATCAAGAATAATGAAAATGTATAAGATATTTAATTGTAATAGATCTTAGCTTAAAAGTGAACATCACTGTAAACTGAACCAAAATAAAAAGAGCCACTGCCAGGACCACCCTTTACTTCCAATACTGCCATGCATAGTGCATCTGCAGTGGAAGCCCTCTAAACCAGCATTCATTGGGACCAGCAAAATATGCCAGTTTAGAGAACTTTCCCTTTTTCAACCTGAGAATGATCTTCCATGTGCCGTAAAATACGACTGAACAACGTGTTGATAGTCATCATATTCTACGTCATCAATATAATTCATCAATAAAGATAACATCCAGTAAAGCATGGAAAAACAAACCAGTCTCATCAAAGTTAAAGACATCTTCAGGCGCCTATCCATGCGGGCAGTAGGAAAACAATCATGCGTCAGTGTGTTAATTTTGTCAAATTTATTGTTTTCATTCACACAACAATTAATTTATAACACGTCACTCACCAATTTACGATACTCCTTTTGTCAGGCAACATCCAAGAGCTTAATGCCGATGGTAATCCACTGTGTTGTTAATACACGTTCAGCCAATCAACAGGAGAGTCGAGATACCGGATGCTGGTTTAGAGAGCATCAATTACTGTACAAACAGTCATTTGGGCGGTCTTTGTTCTGCCGAAATACAGAATAGACTGACACCAGATTAGAGGGTGTGTAAATGATCATAACTTAACTAGCTTCTGCCGGGACCAAATTCTAGTGCCGATATTGAGAGCATGCCGGATTGGAGGGCTTCCACTGTACATCTCTAGTATACAACATATTTACATGACCTTTAGTTGGACATTTTTTATCTTCATCTTTTTCTCACTGTTTCAGTTAACCATCAAAGTCCAAGACAGCCACTGTAAACCAAAGAAAGCAACAACAAAAAGCTCCAGTTCAAAGTGATGGATAAAAATGTGTCATTCTTTGCCTCCGGCCTATCATCAGCAGTGTTATAGTTGCCCATGCTCTGTATCAATATAGTAATTGTATTATTGTAATCACATTCCTATCATATGTATTAATACTGTTTGTATTATGGTGCAACAGGACTGTTGTAAATTAAACAACTGTACAATCAGTCCATCTTTAACCACATTTTCACCACATTTACAATACTGTTTGTATTTTGGTAGAACTGAACTGATGTAAATTAAACAATGCATGATTATTATCTTCAGCCAAATTGTCACCACATTAACATTTTTTCCGCCTTTGCCTGGACTTGCAATCAATTTGCTTTCAGTACAATCCCTCCCCAAATTTTCAGCATAAAAATGTCAGTAAAATCGAAGAAACACAGTGGCGTATTGACACACTGTAGGTCATTATTGTGTCCCTTTGGGGCCAGGATATTCTAGTTTGGGCGTTCATTCCCCAAATCCCCTATCTGTTCTTTGCTGGTCATTTTGGCTTGTAAAAGAACTATATGTCACAATGATGTTAATATTTTTGTAACAGTATTGTAAAACAGAATACACTGAAATGTAATGTATTGTAAGTTTCCAGACTGTTACCGTCTTTCTGTGTTGTTACCACACTGGGCATTATAATGGGTAGCAAGTCTACACTAGATAATCAAATGATCTATTTGAGCAACATTCCAGTAGATATTTTGCCAAGTGACTGAGTCTGAAATTGTTGGCCAATTTTATTCTTATGACCACCAAATGAGAATTTATATATTTGATAATAATTCCCTGATATTTGCTACCAGACATGACCATGGTAAATTTCATGCTGACCGGTATGTGGTCTTAACTTTAGTGAATGCCTGTTTACCTAACGAACTGTTTGAAGTACCTCCCATAGAAGGTGGGACTTGCATTCTAAGGATCTGGACTGTCCTGTTTGTTAGTCATGTGTTCGATTCCCAGATTGATGTTGATAACAATTAGGTGTGAATGTGGACAGCATGTATACTATATCAATAGTAATACGATTGTTAGAAACAATATTGTGATAATTTGCAAGTATAATACGATTATTGCAGATAGTGGTATTATTATTAAATATTTAGAGCACTTGAAAACATTGTAATGTGTTAGTGTTTCTTTTGTAGGGTACAAAATATTTGCACATTTTTTAATGTCTCACAGAAATGTTTGTTTCAGATTTGTGGACATTCTGTTGTGGAATAGTTGTTTTATTTTGCCATGGACTTTCTGCAGCCTGATTAAGTGTGTCGTGACTGACTGTTACTGTCTTGTTCGTCATAAACCACGCATCAACAGGCGATCAAGTCTACATCAATACTCATTGGTAAAGTCTCCAAGCATGTATAATGTTTACCTCAGTGGGGCCAGGGGTGGTGAAGTACTGTATCATCTAACCCTTTCATTTCAGAGGTGTATGGTGAATTGAAAATTGAAAATCATTAGTGCCTGCCACCCTATGAGTGGCTACAATGAATCTATTTGAACTGACATGAAGCAGGAGGGGACTGTTTGGAAGATATGATCACACAAGTCTCACTAAAGTGTCACAGTCATTTACAATTATTTGGATTATGGTTCTGCATTGGTTCATATGGCAAATGTCGCATTTTGTTCTCTTTTCTTGAAGCACTCTCAAAACTATGGTCCAAAAAATGTCTTGAGCCTTATATTTTACAAAACTAGTGTTCTTGTTCTTTTTTTAATCATGTTGACTGAAAGAAATTTGTTACCAGCCAATATATTTATCTATTTAAGAAGTTGTTGACATGAAAACCCATTTTCTGAACGAAGACGTGCAGAATATAGATGGTGGCTGATATTGAGAAGTGAAGAGATATGTTTTATGAAATAAACAAGTATCTGTGTTTCTTCAGTTGTTGGGTGTTATCTGTACTTACAGGGGAACTAATTTAGCTTGCCTGACCTGAATTGTCCATGAAGTTGTCTGTGGTACTTTTCCAGAAGGCCTCATAAACTGCAAGAGCTTTGAAAGTTAATGTTCTATTTTATGAAATAATGTCTCTGAACATGTTAATTATTTGGATTCAGGGTGGTATGTCTGACATGTTGAGAAAGACCTTTGTATCTTCACAGGCATTAGTCAGGACTTTGTTGTATCATTCACTCTCCCTGTGTGACCCGCAAAGATCCGGGTAAGAATTGATCTTCAGTAACCCATGCTTGTCGTAAGAGGCGACTAACGGGATCATGTGGTAAGGCTCACTGACTTGGTTGACACATGTCAGCGTGTCCCAATTACGTAGATCGATGCTCATACTGTTGATCTCTTAATTGTCTGGTCCAGAGTCGATTATTTACAGACTGCCACCATATAGCTGGAATATTGCTGAGTGCTGCATAAAATTAAACTCACTCACTCTCCCTGTGGCAGTGTGTGGTCCTGTGCATTGAGCTCAGGTCACAATCAGTTGAAGTTAAGCAGCATTGGGCACGGATAATTCTTGGATGGGTGAACATCTTTGGCTGTTTGACTCCTAAAAGTTTCTGGGACTTTCCGCCATGCCCCACAAACAAGCACATTACGCTGGTCAACGAGTACAGAACACTCCCAGTGGAGAATACAACCGGTCGCCTGTCAGGCACTGAAGGGTCAAATTCAAACTACCATCGTATCATACCAGGTACCCAAATGGCTGCTGGGTCAACAGAGGCAACTTTGAACAGACTCACTGTCTTTGTTGACACACATCATCAACACATAGATCAATGCTCATGCTGTTGATCACTGGATTGTCTGGGCCAGATTATTTACAGACCGCTGCCATATAGCTGAAATATTGCTGAGTGTGGTGTTAAACAACAAACCAACCAACCCCGTGTTGGAGCCGAATTGGTCCTCTGCAGCCAAGAAAAGTGTACTATTCTCTCTCCCTGTATAGACCCAGGTGGCATTTGGTCCTCTGCAGCCAAGAATGGTGCAAGAGGCAATACAATGGATCAGATCTTCAGACGTGTTTGTTGAGAGCCTAGAATCGTACGCTGACTGAGTTAATCATTGCACAGTTTCAGTCACTGGATTGTCTGGTACAGCCTCAGTTTCTTGCATGCTGCTGTCATGTAGCTGGGATATTGCAGTGCCAACTTAAGCAACAACGCATCATTATGAAACAGGCTTGGAGTGAGCGAAATAATATTGTGATGAATGTCATGGTGGTCAAAATGGTAATATGTACCTAAGATATAGGCAGTTCCTCACTGCCTGGAAAATATTCTACAAAACTTGACAGATACATGTACTTATAAGGTTGCTGTGGTGGTCCATAGTCGTAGGTGGTCCTGGTTACAGCTGCCATATGGTCTATTGGATCAAGCAGTGTACCATGGTATCCTGTAGATTCTTGTGACGATGCTTGGGACTACCTTTGAACTGGCTAGGTCTGACCCAGATTCACCAGTTCCAAAGCACCTGATGACATTGTTTCTTTCTGCTTCACTCGGTCAACAGTTTACAGTTGTGTAATTGTCCAGAAAACGTTTGTATTCATGTATCAGATCATGCATGTTCAGTGGTCCTTTGCACATCGTTGAGCACTGGGCAGTGAAGACATCTTGAACCTTGAGAAATGAGAAACCAATGGTTGACCGAAGGTGTGACTGTCATCCTGTATTCCTTCTACTTCAAAGATAGCCAAGACGTCGCCAGTCAGAAAGTGAGTGGGATCTTCTTTGGAGCAACATACAAATCAATGAGGACATCTTAAATCTTCTTCCCCGACCGCGTCATACCAAAAGACGTTTAAATATGGTACTTGTTGGTCCCTGCCTTGCGCTCAGCATTAATGGGTACAACAAGGACTGGTCGGCTTGGAGTCAGTATACTGTGTCTGAGTGGGGTATTCATGCTTCACTGTGGCATGGTATCTCAATGAGCTAGCACTATAAAACCAGCTTCTGTCTGGGCTAGTACAAGCAGCCGCACATACACATACACACGCATGCACGTCGTCATATGAGCGAAATATTCTCAAGCACGACGTTAAACCCAATTTCACCTCACCTCACCTCTTAAATCTTCAGAGATGATAATCACTGACCTAAGGTCCTATGAACAATCAAGAGGACCAGCTATCTGATTGGAAGCAATCAGCCAGATTGGACATCACCACAGTAAGCAACGACTGGGAGGACTGGCAGTTGACTTGGGAGCCATTTATAGAATCAAACACTCGCGTAATGAGTCATGTGAACAATCAAGAACATGTTCACATAAAAGTAAAAATCATCAGGTACTGGTGTAAAGTTACAACTGAAACTTTAGTAAATTTCACCACATTCTTTATAAAATTATGAAATTTAGATCATCTCTCCAGAATGTTGATTTCGACCAACTAAAAGCTGTCAAATATATTCTTCATAACGTGGGACTCTCCTATATTTGTCAATCTCAAAAGTTCCCTAGCATCCACTGGTTGAAACATCATGTCAAAATTTCATTAATTGATCAGTTCAAACAATCATGGTATGCCAATGCTCAAAGTTCATCTAAAGGGAAATACTATCATTTATATAAAACCTCACTCACTTAAGAACCTTATCTTTTAGATCTCCCATAAAAATTTCGCATCTGGTTAAAATTAAGAACTTCTAATCATACATTACCTATTAAAACGGGACGATGGTTTAATATTAATCTAGAAAACAGAACATGTACAATTTGTAAAATAATGTTATTTGTGACAAATTTCATGTTATTTTATCATGTACACATCTTAGTGTTAAACGTAAGAAGATACTTCCCTCATATTTTTGCAATAATCCAGATATGGACAAATGTATCTTACTGATGAAATCAGATTATATCCCAATCCTATGGAAACGTTCACTGTTTACTAAAACTGTTCTTAGTCATTTCTGAATCAATATATCTACTCATATGTATTTGTATTATACGATCGTATCTTCTCCATATCATTCTGTGTGATTTACGAGAATAAAATTCTGTTCTGGCTGTCAGACTGAGAAAGATACACATGGATCGGACGTTCACTTCAATGATAAAAATGAGTTAAAGGATCGTCAGTGATCCATAGGATCAGGTGATCTTTGGGATCATGCCAACATTCAGGAGAACTGGAGGCCTTTGCCAGCTTCAGATCAAGAACGCCTGGATAGCTTGAACAAATTCAAAGATTAGTCACCGGTTCTCCCGAAAAGTTATGGGAAGATATGAATTGAATTTTGGTTCAGATGAAAATCCAGAATTGCACTGGACATAATTTTTGGACATACGCTTTAAAATTAGAAAAGTTCTCACATGTCTACCACAAAACGTTAAGATAGCTTTCAAGAGGTCTTGAATGCTAAAACCTTAGTCAAACAACAGGGCAAGGGTCGTATGACGCTTTGAAAATGTTGGTAATAGGAACATGGTCAATTACATGTTACCTCAAATGTTGACACATATGTAACAGACCCGTGAAGGCCCGGGTTAGAATATTGATCTTCAGTAACCCATGCTTGTAAGAGGCGACAGATTGGGTGGTCAGGCACGCTGACTTGGTTGACACATGTCATCGGTTCCCATTTGCGCAGATCCATGCTCATGCTGTTGATCACTGGATTGTCTGGTCCAGATTATTTACAGACCGCCGCCATATAGCTGGAATATTGCTGAGTGCGGCGTAAAACTAAACTTACTCACTCACATTTGTAACACAAAGGCTGGAGCTGCAGAAATATTGCCTCTTATAAGCTGAACGTCATCCTTCTTGCCATATAGTTTTGTGGAGAGCACCTTTAAGTTTTCTTACGACCATGTAGTCGCTGTCAACGCTCCTCCATTACCGGCACCGGAGGCCCTGGGAATCAAACGTCTGCCTACTTCCGGTCACCCCCCTCCTCTGGTATGCATCAACCGCCTCCGTGGTGTAGTGGTTAGAGCGTCCGCCCGGAGAGCGGAAGGTCGCGGGTTCGATCCCCGACCGCGTCATACCAAAATACGTTAAAATATGGTACTTGTTGGTCCCTGCCTAGTACAAGCAGCCGCACATACACATACACACGCATGCACGTCGTCATATGAGCGAAATATTCTCAAGCACGACGTTAAAACCCAATGTCACCTCACCTCTGGTATGCATCAAGGCGAGGTTGGTATGGTGATCTGCTGGGACGCATCAGGCGTGACGAACGTAATCGGACACGCACGACGAGGAGATGGTACTGCTGGTTGCCAATGGAATGGTAGTGCACGACCACCAGATTATTATTCGAAAACAAATGTAAGGGTGTCAGAAGTTACTGTGCGACCGTCAGGATTCGATCACCAGGATTACAAGAAAGCTGAATGGATCGATCTTCACCACATACTTGGCTGCAATCAATACTATCATCTCCCTCGAGACTGGCATCAAGAAGCCCATGGGGACTGAGCTTCAGGCTCTAATCCGATCTTAAAAGCCAGCTGATCAATACCCAAAATTCGGACCACCAGCCTTGAATCTGAACGTCGTACTATGACAGTGAGGTGAGATGAAATTGGGTTTTACGTCATGCTTGAGAATATTTCGCTCATATGATGACGTGCATGCGTGTGTATGTGTATGTGCGGCTGTTTGTACTAGCCCAGACTTAAGCTGGTTTTATAGTGATAGCTCACTGAGATACCATGCCGCAGTGAAGCATGAATACCACACTCAGACACATTATACTGACTCCGAACCGATCAGTCCTTGTTGTACCCATTAATGCCGAGCGCCAGGCAGGGACCAACAAGTACCTAATTTTAACGTATTTTGGTATGACGCGGTCGGGGATCGAACCCGCGACCTTCCGCTCTCCGGGCGGACGCTCTAACCACTACACCACGGAGGCGGTCTACTATAACAGTTTGGTACAGAGGACTACAA